AGAAAACGAAATCCAGACCTTGAGGAACCTCTGTGGGGTGAGCCAGGTGCGCCCATGGAAGCACTTTGGGTTGTGAGGTGTCTTCACCCTCAACACGAGGGAAGCCTGCAGAATTTGTTATGGCTGCATCATCGCTGATGATGTGACACATTGTCTACCACGCTTTTACACACCTGTCGCTGGTTCTGGTCAGGAGCCACAGGGCCATCTGTCTGCAACCCTACGGGTGATGGACCCTCCCAGGCCTCCAGATGCTTGGTGTCCTGGCCTGCAGCAGGGCTGATGCGTGGGTTTGCATGGCTAGGACTGGTCTCTGCCACGTGTGGTCCAGTTGGCCCCTCCTCGGTGCCCGGGGAACCCTGGGGGGTGTCAGGATGTGGGTGGGTGGGCTGTGCTGGGCAGGAAGAAGCCGTGAGGGGCAAGGCTGGAGTTGCGTCTCCCACATGCCAGTTCCTGCGGGAGCCCCTCTGTCCTGCATCTTTTTTCTTTTTTTTTGAGTTGGGGTCTCACTCTGTCATCCAGGCTGGAGTGCCGTGGCATACTCACAGCCACCCCAGTGTCGACCTGCTCCGGCCATCCTTCTACCTCAGCCTTCCAAGTAGCCAGAATTACAGGTGCGTGCTACCACACCTGGCTAATTTTTGATTTATTGTAGAGACGAGGCCTCACTGAGTTGCCCGGGCTGGTCTCGAACCCACAGGCCCAGGCAGTCCACTCACCTCGGCCTCCCAGAGTGCTGGAATGACAGGCTGAGCCACTGAGCCCAGCCTGTCCTGCATCTTGAGCACCGTGGTTCTGCCCAAGACATCATGGCTGGGGGTGTGCAAGGAGAGGAAGGGCCTGCTGCCTCCCTGTTGCCCACCTGAGAGGGGCGTGGAGAGCCCTCACAGACCTGGAGAGTCTGAGCTGGGGCGGGCTTCTCAGACTCTCTGGAAGACCCGGGGTCTCCGACACGGTTGTCCCTCAGCCGCCTCATCTGTGAAATGGGTCCCTCACGCCTGACCCAGCCTCCCTGGCTGCCTTTGGCTTGGCAGTACTTCCTAACTGTCGGAGGAAACCCCCGCGGCAAGACGGTCACGCTGCTGTGCGTTGTTCCATTCTGTTTTGCTGCGTGGGCCTGGACGGTTCTCAGTTCCTACGGTCTCTGAGAGGCGTGTTGATCTCAACAGTGTTCCAGGGTGGTGCCCATCCTCCCACATGAGCCCTCAAGCCCCGAGGATTTCGTAACGTCTGGGTTCTTCTTGGGCGGTGGGAGGCGGGCGCATCTGGGAGCTGCAGTGGGTTAGCCAGGGGTGTGCAGCTTGTAAGTTGCGGGGTTTGGGCTGGAGCCAGCATGTGCTGCTCCCCTGCACCCCGGTGCATCTGCTGTCAGTGATCTGCTCAGCACCCTGGGCCATGGATGTCACCTGTGAATGGCAGCTTCCCACCACCATGGCTTGCATGAGACACTTCCCTAGACCGAAGCTACCATTCCTAGGAGGCCGGCTGACCTGAGTAGAGCTCAGTGCTCCTTGGGGGGCAGTTGCCCTGCCCGCCCAGAAAGCAAGTCTGGGGACAGAACGAGGAGCTCTGCCTTTTCCACTTGTGCAGGAAGCCCGTGTGGGCCCCTTTGCGTTTCACCGACCACATCCTGGCTCGTGCAAGACAATCTGCTAAATCAATAAGATCCAAACAGAAGAAAACAAAGTCTGCGAGGCCAGAGGGTTTCCGGATTGCCATGACAACGCACAGGGGCACACACTGCTGTCTCTCCCCCTGCAGAAGCTTGCCCCTGGCCCGGGCCTGGCAGACTGGGAGCAGGGAGGCGGCCGCTCTGGGCCCACACTCTCCCTCGGCCAGTCAGACCCAGGACTGGAGTGGAGGCCAGGTTCTCCGTGGCCTCCTCCGAGTCCCATCATCCCAGCGGGAGGCAGGGACAGAGTGCTCTTCAGGTCCTGAAAACAACTCGGGTTGGTGGTTGGAGACCTTGCTGAGGGTCCAGCTGCCCAGAGAACCCTGGGGATTCTTCTGAGAGAGAGTGGATGTGACGGCCCCATGGGCTCAGCCTTGGCTGCCACGCAGGCTCTGTGCTCATGGGCAGAGCGCCAGGAGACTGGGGTCCAGCCAGGCGCCAAGGCATTGGGTGCAGTCCCTCTCTGGGTGCCAGGTGCTGAGTAGCCCAGCTGGACGCGGCCCAGGGCACATTCTGGAGGGAATTCTCTTGTGTGATTGTGCATGACTCGTCTCTGTGCATCAAGCCCTCATCACCTCCGGGACAATTCCCAATTCCGGGAGCGACTGAGTCACCCGAGACTCATGGTCTGCCCTGGTGGCCAGTGGCAATAGACCCTGAGTGTGATTCTCCCCCCGAGAGGGAGGCTGGACAATACTCCCTTTCACAGGCGCCCATCACATGGGCATCAGGGGACAAGGCAAGTGGTAGGAAGCTGAGGGAGGGTGGCAGCAGGGTCTGTAGCAGCCAGGAAGACGCCCAGATGGAAGCTTCCGGGCCTCGAAGGCTCGCAGAAACGCAGAGCAGAGTGGCTCCGTCGGTCCTGTGGGGTGGTGGCTTGGCTTTACCGAGAGAGCTTGTCAGCGGCCAGGGATGAGAGGGCAGCCCCCGGGTGAGCAGGTCCCTGCCAGCGGCAAGAGGGACAGACCTTCAAGGGACGGGCCCCTGACTCCCAGGCCTGGGTTTTGCCGCGGGTCGTTGTGTATGGGGTCTGAGCCAGGCCAGAACTTGCTTTCGTCCCTCCTGAGGAGAGAGCTGATGGGGCCCAGGCAGTGTGGTTCACGGCCATCTGGAGAACCAGCCCAGAGAACCACAGGGCCCCTTGCAGGGCACCGTCGGTTGTCACAGGTACTCAGTCGGCCATCCTCTCGGGAGATCCGGCCTCAGACACAGTCTGAGACGGCCGGTCGCTGGGCTCACTGGCTGTCAGGGAAGGCAGCAGGCATCCCTAAAGCAAAGTCTCAGAGCTGCCTCACCCCGGTTCACATGCGTGCACACACACACGTGTGTGCCCACATGCATCTACCCATGGGGCGAAGGGCTGGCTCAGTAGGAACCAGTCCTCCTGACAGCTTGGAGTTGGCTTCGTCAGGGAGGAGGCTGAGTGTGGAGGCTGAGCTGGGGTGGGAGGCGGGTCGGGTTTGGAACTGGGTCTGGGCAGATAGCAGGCTCTCAGCCGCCCTAAGACCAGCTCCTGGACACCACGGTGCAAACTTCTTGCCGCCTCTGTGACTCGGGGTGGAAGGTTATACGTGTCTGTTTCCCTAGCCTGGCTGGCCACCTGCACACACAGCCTGCATGCACCACACATGTGTGTGGACACCTTGTTTGGGTACGTGTGTCCTGCCAGTAACGTCGTGCCGGCTGCTGCCTGTGACACTCCAGGGATTTTGCTCCTCCTGTAGCTGCATATTCTGCCTGCCAGGCGATAACCTAGCAGCTGGGGCTGACTGCCCTGAGAAGGAAACCAGCGGTCAGCTCCACGCACGGTCCTCGCTGCAAATTTTATTTTTCACCTGGGTGACAGCAGCCTCCTGGGGGGGAGGGGCAGAAAGGCTGCCAGACTCTCGGGGTGTTACTGGAGCCGCTTTGCTTTTCTCTTGTTTGCTGGCCCAGGGGAGGCCCCGGAAGGGCTGTCCCGTGGGGTGAGAGCTTCCCTTTGAAGGCTTGGCCAACCGAGGGTAACGCCGAGAATGTCAGCCTTGCAGTCATGTTGTGAAAGGGCCCAGGCACTTTCCTTCTGGGTGCTGCTATGCCCACCTGGAGGATGCTGCCGCTCAGGGTAGAAGGAGCCACACAGATGCCCTTGAGCAGCTAACCTGGTTCTAGGCTTGGGGTTTTCAAGCCCGAGTGCTAACCCCGCAGGCAAAGAAAGGAAAAATGCCGCGCGGCTCATGGTCCCCGCATTCCACCTCATTTCTTCTGCCGTGACTGGGGTTGAGGTAGACAGGACAGATGCAGCAGCACTAGGGGCTCACTGGGCATTTGTCCAGCACCGGTTTCTAGTGGCCAGAGCCTGTCCCCGCTCAGGAGAAGAGCCCTTGGCTCTCAGGGCTCTCATCGCAGGAGGGACCCGCGAGCAGCAAGGCACAGCCAGACTCGGCTGCACACACATGGAGACACGAAGGCCCAGCCAACCGGGGAGACTGGGGCTGGACTCAGGCAAGCTGACTTGGAGCAGACTTGGAGAGACAGAGATGAGCCCTCTGAGGGTAGAGCGTTCCAGACAGAGGGGGAGACCGACGTCAGTGTCCTAAGATGGGGAGAAGCCCAGAGTCTGAGGACGCTGAAGGGATGCTTCCTGTGTAGTGAAGCTGCTGCCTGAGACTGGAGATGGGCACAGCCGGTCAGGCTGGGTGGGGTGGGGGGGGCATTTGTTATGGGCGTGACCTGGGGGGGGCTTCATTTTGGGCAGGGCCAGGGCAGGGGCCTTATTTCTGGGCGTGGCCAGGGCCGGGTGGGGGCCCTTCAATCTGGGCAGGGCCAGAGTGCGGACATTTGTTCTGGGCATGGCCGGGGCAGGGGCATTCGTTCTGGGGCCAGCCACAGCCATAGCCAGTTGTGCCCTGGGAGAAACCTTCCTCATACTGTGGAGAAGACTCTTGGCTAAAGGTTGAGTGCTGCACCTGCCGTGCCCTGAGCTGTGCCATGCATGTGCGTGTCGAGGGCGTGTGTGCTGCGCATGTTCCTGGCAGGCCAGAAGAAGACACACACGTTTACCATGTCTCAGACTGGCTTCGTGTTCCTGTCATGCCTGGTCTTTGCTGATTACCCGGAGTGTGTGTTACTCCGATAGTCAGAAACGCGTCAGGTGCTCTTGCGAGCCTTTCTGGGCAAGCCGGCTGGCGTGAGAGGACACCGTTGTGGGTTGCATCTCAGATGTGAGCCCTGCGGGACGCGGGGATTCAGGAGTCTCGCGACTTTGGCCAGCAGAGACGCCTGCTGAGCTTTTAAGGGACCCACTCCAAGAATGAACGTCTTCCCTTTGCCATCTTGCTTCCTCCCACAGACTTGAACATCACTTGCCGCTACGCCGGCGTGTTCCACGTGGAGAAGAATGGCCGCTACAGCATCTCGCGGACGGAGGCCGCCGACCTCTGCAAGGCCTTCAACAGCTCGCTGCCCACCATGGCCCAGATGGAGAACGCGCGCAACCATGGGTTTGAGACCTGCAGGTGGGGACGGGTGCAGGCCATGGGGAAGGCAGGGCGGGCCGTGGCGGGGCTCCCCAATGGTTTAGCGGTCGGTGGGGAGACAGGCAGCGGTCGGTGGGGGGACAGGCAGCCTGCCCACTGATCTGGCCGAGCCGGTCTGGAATCCGTGTCCCGTGGGAGTCAGAGTCCGCGAGACACCTTTGTGAGTCTGTGCGGGGGCCCTGGAGGAGGCCTTGGGGTCAGAGCAGCCGCAGCCCCTGTCTGAGCTGCTCCCCCCAGTTCTGCCACCTGGCCTGAAGAAACTGCGACCTCTGTGGGAGCACAAGGAAACGTCCGCCAACGAACACGCGGCTGGCAGTCTTGTCCTTACGAGTCAGCCACCCCCTCCCCCGCGCTCTCTCTGGGTCTCCTCTTGGGTTGTTTTGGTCTGAGAAGGTGAACAAGAGGGTGTGCAGGGTGCTGAGTCATTGTGGGGAGGCGTCTCAGGGCTCCCCTAGGCATCCTGGCCAGAGGGCTACCTCCAGCCGCCTGGCTCCAGGGTGGTTGTGACAGGCCAGGCGTGTGTCTTGGGTGGTAAGGACCGTGAGAGGGCTCAGTTTTGCTTTGCTTGCTCCAGTGAGGTCTGTCTCACCCCACAGGGCCCAGCCGACCCTCCCTCCCCCAGCCCGCAGCTACCTCGGAGCTTCTGCAGTGTCTTTGGGGGTATGGCCCCTTCTCTGCAGTCCACACGCTCACGTCCATGACTGCTTTGGGGATGTTGAGCCAGGAGGCGGGCATTCAGTGTGACTGTGCTGACACTCTTGCTCAAAGGCACGGGGAAACACTCTCGTCTAAGACTCGTTTAGTTGGGAGGCCACTAGCCACACTTGGCAACTTACACGTAATTAACTAAAATTGTTGCAATGAAAACTTGAGCTCTTCACCGGCGTGGGCTGCAAACCAGAGCTCAGTTGGTCACTGGCAGCCAGTCAGCAGCCACCATGTTGGGCGACACAGGCGATGGAACGATCGCTCGTGGGAGAGAGCTCCGTTGAGCGACCCATCTGTAAAACAAAGAGCAGATGCTCATGGATGCCGGCATGCGTTTAGAGGCACATCAGAGTCTGAAGGTTCAGGGAGAGGGAGGAAGGCTGGTAACCACGCACTTGCCCCGCAAGCTGCCAAGGAGGAAGCCAGCTTGCAGATCCGTGTCTTATAGCCTGAGGCCTACAGTTTAAACATGGTCCTGACGTGGCCACAGGCCTCAGAAAGTGGACTTGCTAAGTCAGAGTTTGGCTGTGAAATATGGGCAGGGCACACTTGAAAAATACTCGCACATGAGCGAAATGCTGTCACCGAGAACCAGGCAGTCCTGTCGACAGCCATGGCCATTGCCAGGCACATGAACGCTGGCACCTGGCACCCACCTGGCCTGCCCCCAACCTCCTCAGCTGCACCCTGGGTTGACATGATCACTTGCTCTACGGGCAGAGCCGCTAAGGGTCCACAGCACGCCCTGGGCCACATATCACAGCCCCGGTAGGAGTCGGACTTCTGGTCCTGCTCAGTCAGAGCCTGGGGCAAACTGAGTGACCTGAGGGACTAAGGCCAAGGAGGAGGGAGACTCTGCAGGGATTTGCAGGACGCTTCTGTCCTCCCCGCGAGCAGTGACTTGCTCAGGCCACCTGCACACGTGTGCACCGTAACACGCCATCTCACGTGTCTGCAGCACGTAAACCAGGCAGGCAGCAAGACCTGACACTGACTTTCTGAGGGCTTGTGGGCCACTCTGGACGGCTGGTGTGGACACACGTGACGCATCGTGGTAGGGAGCGGGCCACAAGGAAGTCATCTGGAGAAGGAGCACTGCCTTGCCCCCACGACTGGCCCCTATGTCGCACATCCCCCGCCACCACTCCCTGCCCTGAGATGCATTGTGGGAACATTCGGTCGCAGTCCTTACTGCCTGGAGGCTTTGGGAAGAAGCCGGTCGCTTCGGAGGAGGGTGTGTCTTTCCGGCTCCCATGGCAACACAGATGTGATGGTCTGTCCCCAGAGGCCCCACGCACAGACGTTGCCCAGGTCTCGGGATGCCTGGCCGCTGTCCCCAGGAGAGATGGTCTGCACCACACATGTCAGCCGATGGCTTTTCAGGCTCCCACGCACAGATGTTTCCTGGACCTCGGGATGCCTGGCTGCTGTCCCCAGGAGAGATGAATGTCTACACTCCCATGTCTCAGCCAGTAGCCTCTCCCAAGCCTGCTGGTGTACCTGCCCCTGCCCTCCGCTGCTCCCCTGGCAAGGGAACTTTCCCAGCCCACGTCTCATTTTTGGAGGAATTTTGCATTGTAAGAAGTGAGTTCTAGCCACTGGGATGGTGCTGGAAGAGGCTGGGCCCCACATGGAGTCTGGAGGGGCCTCCAGCCGGCACAGGCTTCCGTGGGGGAGTGGCTGAGCGTGTTTCTGGCCATGCTGCCTCCAGAATGTTCCTGAGCTATTGAGATCTTGCTGCCTGCCACTCACCTGCTGTCATCCCTGCATGTTGTTAGGGCAGCTAGCTGTTGTCCCGGGTAGCAGAGCCCTGCCAGGAGGCCAAGGACTTGAGCTCAGCCTGGGAACAAGCCTTCACACTTGCAACTGTGGTGTGTGGCGTGAGGGGCTCACAGGGGAAGCTGAGGCCAGTTCTGGGCTCCGGCGTCCACCACACCTGAACGCTCTCGGTGCCGTGACCACACATTCTGTTGGAAGCTAAGTTTTCCTTCGTGGGTTTTTTAAGGAAGCTCGCTGTAGGTCTTCGAATAAAGTCTTGTGGCCTCTCGGCCCGCCAATCTGGCCCCTCTTGTGCTGTGCTTAGACCCCACTCAGTCAGCCAGCGGTGGCAACCTCATGCCTGGGGCCTGCAGCAAGGTTGCGGCCGAGACGTTACGACACGCCGGCCGCCTGCGGTGTGACCTCTGACTTTCCTCCTGCAGGTACGGCTTCATAGAAGGGCATGTGGTGATTCCACGCATCCACCCCAACTCCATCTGCGCGGCCAACAACACGGGCGTGTACATCCTCACGTCAAACACCTCCCAGTACGACACGTACTGCTACAACGCCTCAGGTGCGTGCAGGGACGGTGGGGTGCCGGGATGGGGGCCCAGGTCAGGGCTGGCTCAGGGAGGGGGTGCCTGCGGCCTCTTAAGAAACAGCACCCACCCGGCCCATTTGGGGGCGGGGCCCCACGCAGCCTCCCGTGTACTGAGGCCCACCTGGCACCAGCACAGCGGCCACCAGCTCCCTGTCTCCACGGGTCGCATGCTGAGTCGGGAGGCAGACACAGATGGATGTCGGGCGCCTCACTGGACGCCAGAGGGTGAGGGGGTGCAACAGGAGACCGTGGGGTGGGGACCAGAGAGCGCAGAGGCTCTTTGCCCCCAAGAAGGTGGTCAGGGAAGTGCCTCCTGGCCGGTCCTGAGAACATTGGGGTGGGGGCGACGGAGGCCCAGGCTGCAGGGGAGACGCCGAGAGGAGCAGGCCAGTGGCATGGGGTGATCCACTTGCTGTGGCAGGTAGTCACCACAGGTCTCAACATGGCAGCGGCAGGAGTCCAGTCTGGCTGCCAGCGACGCCAAGTGCCACTGCACAAAGTTCTTGATTATGGGGCAGAGGAGGGCTGGGTGGGGATCTGGCCTGAGCCCCTGGCCGCCCCTCAGTTGAGATGCCAGGGATGAGAAAGCCGAGGTGAGAGGCAATCCCCGGGTGTTGGGCCTGGGACGTTCCTCCCTGCCCAGGACGTTCCTCCGACCCCTGGCCCAGAAGTCCTTGATCATGGGTCGAATTTAAGTCCCCGCAGCACTGAATGGCTCCACACTCCACGGAGTTTCAGAGTCTTTTGAGGATTAAAATGACAGACGTCAAATTTTGGATACCAGCAGTCTAAAGTCCTTCTTATTAAATGGGGCCTTCTGTCCCCCAGAAGGCTAGACGTGTGTGCAGGGAAGGACAGAGGCTGGAGGTAAGCCTGATCTGTCTTCCTGGGTCAAAGGACATCACATGAGCTGGAGAGTGACATGAGACCTGAGACGCTCTCCGTGGGAGCAAGCGCAGGGGCTGCGTGCAGGGGTAGATGTGGCTGCGTGGACTTGGAAGCGGTGCGGGAGACATCATAACCTGAGATGCTCCACCTGCCGGTATATATGAGCATGAAGGAGCTCTTCCTTCTGCCTGTCTGTGGACAGTAACAGCGACAGATCATGAGAATCGCCTAGCTCGGGCTCACACCCTACTGCTGCATGGGCCCGGAGTCACGGCAGGAATTTGGACAGCAAGCCTGGAGTGAGGAGGAAGGCCAGGCAGGCCTGACGTGGGGTGTGTGAGGCCAGGGCGCTGAGACAGCCACTCGCAGGTTACCAAGCCTGGGACACGATGCACAGAACAGGGACAGGGACACTGCCGGTTGTTCCTCCCTGCCTCAGGGCAAGGAGCACGGTGAGGGGGGAGGTCTGAGTGAGGGAGGAGAGTCCACCAGCCCAGGGCCCGTGGCCAGCCTGCTCCACACCCGGGGATCCCTGGGCCACCGTGAGAAAAACCACCGGCAAATGCCAGAGGAATAGACCATGGCCTGGTGTAGGGCCCCAGGAAGACCTGGAAGGCTCCAAGCTGTGGAGGAGGGCTGCTGCTTCCCCCTGGTCTTGGTGAGGGAGCATCATAAATTATGCAGCTGCCTCCCGCATTTCTCACCTGTTTTTCAAGTTGGTGTCCCTTGCCAAAGAGAACCTCCACTCAGCTGGGTGGAGGTTCACACTGGCTTATGGCCTGGAACTGAAGCCTCCGGGCGGGCTGCCACCCCTGATGGTTCCCAGGGGGCTGGGCCGTCCCTGGAGAAGGATCAGCAGCTCGACCAGCTTTCCTCTCTGGGGAGGGTGGGTTGAGTCAGAAAGTTGGCAGGTTCTGGGGTGTGTGACCTGCCAAGACGGACAGTTCAACAGTCGAACTGGAGTAGCGTTTCTCAGGTGCACTCAGCATTGACCGGCTGCCGTGCTCAGTTTTCCTTCGGGGTGAGAGAGAACGCTTATTGGCCGACTCTGTGTGCTCAGTCCCGTGCTAGGTAGAGTGGGGGAGGAAGGCGCCAGGAGCTGCGCTTCTTGTCTTAAAGAAGTTAATCTTGTTGAAGCGATGAGACCAGAATCGAGAGAAACTGGAGAAGGGCACAAATGCGAGGACTCTTGGGCTAGAGTCACACGGTGGTGTGACTTGAGCGGAAGGTCTTCATAACCTCTGCCTATGCGAAGGGTCTTGCTGGAGACCCTTGAATCTAACTTGGCTGAGAACCGTGGCAGGGGGTCATATCCCAGGGCTGTACCCTGCAGTGGTTGCAGGGACCAGCGTCAGCACGGCCTGGCAGGCAGCGTCGTGTGTGTCACGCATGAGCCATGTTTTGGGAAAGTGTGAAATAGGGCGGACTCTGACCCTGGCTTCGTGGCTTTTGTTCCTCATGGCCCAGTGGTTAAGGCCCAGCGAAGCCTGGTGACACAGACTTGAGTCGTTTGTGCAGGCAGTCAGGAAAGTCCCTCACGTTCTCCAAGGCAGAATTACGGGAGACGTCTGCACTCGTGTGTCTGTGGGTCCCTGTGTTCTTCAACTCACTCTGAGATGTCTGCGGGACCCTGGAATGGACCAAGAGTGGGGAAGACCTGTCCGCCCCCGACCCCCAGTAGCTGGACCGGGATAGTCACCACTTGCCCGGCTGTTGTGGCTTGCTGGAGCCAAGGCTTATGACAATGTCTGGGCCGGAGGCTTCTGAACAAGTCCTCAGCCCCCGGGTACCTCACCAGGCCTCATTTCCAAGCCGTGCTGTGTGGTGGGCGGCAAGAAACACCGTCTGCTAAGGTACTAGGTCCTACATGAGAGCAGCAGTGTGCTGGTGCGCATTTGGGTCACCATCTGCCGAGGACGCTTACCGGATACGACGCACTTCACAAAAGCCACGGGGAATCAGAGCAGAAGAGTCCCTTGAACACGCGCCCTGGTCATGCACAAGGCGGTCTCAGGTGGTGCCCGTGCTGCCACAGCTTCCGTCTGGAAGTCCACAGTGTGCCGTGGCCTGTACTGTGCGTACGTCTGGGTGGCTGTCCCATCCTTGGCATTGGGTAGCTACGTTCCAGGCCTGTGTCTGGGTGCGTCTCCAAGGCCAGGCTGGGCTCTGCCCTTGTTTCCGAGATAGACAGGGCAGGTGCCTGGGTCTTCAGGTGGCCTGTACCCTGTTTCCCAGGGGGAGAAGTTCTGAAATTGTTTTGGAAGGGTACATCATCATGGCTCATGACTATGTGAATTCCTCAGAAGCCAAGACAGAAATGCGTTCTCTCCTCATTTTCCCCTTCCTCACACGGGCTGGTGTCTGGGTGTTGGGAGACACTCACTCGGACAGCAAGTGAGCCACTGAGCCATGGCCCTGGGTGGCCCCTGAGGGCTCCCTGGATGGGACACTTGCCAACCCCTGATGGTCCAGGAGTGTCCCCTGGAGGGATGGACTCTGGAGAGATGGAACTTTTTCCCTTTCCCTTAGTTGGACACACACATACTGTGGACCTCTCTGTCCCCATCACACAGAAATGTTTTGGTTGAGACAGACGAGGTCACCAGGCATGTGTGACCCTCATGCTTCCACAGAGGGGGTGGGTGGCAGAAAGTGGGGCTGGAGTGGTGCCAGGAGCAGTGTCAAGTAAGGTGGACAGGATCCGTGTAGATGATGGGGGAGGGAGAGGAGGAGCCAGGCAGGGGCTGTGTCGGGGGGACGTGAGGAAGGCTGTGTAGACGAGATGGCGAATGGGGAGGAGAGACCAGGGCAGGGAGTGTGTTGGGGGATGGGTGCAGGTGTGAGGAAGGCTGTGAGATGGGATCTGAGGAGTGGCCCCCTCAGAGCTGAACTTTCTCCTGAAGAGTCTTCTGGAGATCCTGCAGAACAGACTTTGTGAGAGTGGCTTTTCCTAAGACATCCCTTTTCCAGTTGAACGTGTGAAGCTGCCGGTTAGTCTCATTGCGAGTCCCAAGTGGGTACACAAAGGACCTCCCCTCCCTGTGGACAAGACGCTCCCGGGCAGGGCAAGCCGCACCTGGGCCGCACCTATCTCGTCCACCTTGCTCTCTGTGCAAGGATGTGAGCCCCTGGTGATTTATGGCTGGACACGCCAAACACTTAGACGGCAGTCCTCCTGATGATGTCGGCTTTCCTCCCTCTGTCCCTCCATCCCTCCGTCCCTCCTTCCCTCCCTCCTTCTTTCCTACCCTCTTACCCCCATCCCTCCCTTCGCCCCTCCTTCCCTTCTGCCTCCTCCCTCCCCACCCTCTGTCTCTGCCCCCCAATCCATCTCTCTCTTCTTTCCTCCTTTGCCAGAAGCAGCTCTGGGAGAAACCGACCTAACAGATAGATGCCATCTTACATTTAAGCACACACACACATGCATGCATGTACGCACATGCACGCACACAGAGTGAGAGCCGTTGTGCCCAGGCGGCTCCAACCCTCCCGTGACAGCAAGACCTGCCCACAGCTCTGTGTTTCAGAGCTCCATGCAGCTCTGGGTGCCGAGGGCAGCGCTCTGGTGTGAATGGCACAGCTGGCCGAGCTGCTCGGCGATCTGTGCCCAGACCCGCAGGACGTGTGCGGAGGATATCAAGGCAGTGCCCTGAGGCTTCTGACTGGGGCATCTGTGGAGGTCGGGCCGGCCTGCTGTGCAGGCAGACATCTTTACTCCTCAGGGGGGGGATGAGGGGGGAGGGTAGATGAACCAAGAGGCCGAGATGCCTGAGCACCATGGAAGTGCTGAGACTGCGGCTCAGGAGGGGGCTGTGCCCGACAGAGGCGGCCACGGGAGCGCGTGCTGAGAAGCTGTCTATGCAGCAGGCACTTGGCACCGCGGGCTGAGTTAATAACACATCAATGCACTGATGACAGGCCAGAGAGGCACTGGTGGGCAAAGGCTCCGATCCTGTCCATTTCCTGGGGATCACGCTGTTTTACCTTCAGCCGCCGTGCTGCTCACGCTGCTTGTGTCCGCCCTGAGTTCCCGTTGTCTCTGTAGGTTTCTGAGATGACAGTTAACCTTCTTGTGAATGTGCACAACATTCCCACCTTCCTTTGGAGATCGCGAATTTTAAAACTCTTCCTAGTGTGCCTGCATCGGAAGAGGGTGCCACCGTCACAGCTGGACCCCAGCTCCATGAACCTGCAGGGGATGTGCCTGCTTGTTAACAGATAGGTTTGCTGGGGTGGGTAGCAAGTTTCCTGAAATGTATGAGGCTGCATAGACATGGAAACTGTGTCACGAAAGGCAGAGGAATTCCTAGCAGACCTGTTGAGCGTCAGAAAAAGAAAATTACATGGGATAAGTTATAAGAGAAGTCCATCCCAACTGGCTGACAGAAATGTGGGTGGGTTTTCTTGGTGTTTTTACTAGTTCTCACGTGTTTTTTTCCACCCACAGCTCCTGCCGGAGAAGACTGCACCTCGGTCACGGACCTGCCCAATGCCTTTGAAGGCCCCATCACCATCAGTATGTGTCTCTTCCAGTCCCGACTGGGTGCTCCCTGGGAAAGGGACCAGGCATGTCCTCCCTCGCGGCGACGTTCGCACGGGACGAGCCGGGGCGGGGCAGGGAGCTGTGAGTCAGTGTCCTCCCGTTTCCTGTGGCAACTTGAAGCTGCTCCCCACCTGCCCTGATGTCTGGCACCTCAGATCGGCCAGCTGGAGTGCTCTCACGTTATTCCCGGCACCCTGTGTCCACTGCACAGTCACTCACTCGGCATCTTTCATTTAGTTGGCCTATTCTCTGCTACTTAAAGCACACTAGCTTTTAAAATGAAACTGCACAGGATAACCAACATCACTGGCCTTAAGTAGATGAGTGTCTCTGGCACTGTAGAAACCAGAGCACCTTGCTAGCCCCAACCATGGGTCTCCTGTGAACCTTACCTTGTTGCCTCAGCCCCGGCACTGGGAAATGGCCCTGTGTTGGGGCCGTCTGATGCCTGCATCCCCAGAGCCGGACCTTGGTGTGTAGGGGTGTGAAGGTGGTGGGGAGCTGGGGGAGGGTGGAGGGTGTGAGTCTTCTTGGACCACGCAAGCCTGGCCCCTGCCGTTAGGTGAAGAGCTGTCCCTGGCTCCACGCCACGATGCTGCAATGGGTGATGCATCCCCTGAGTCTTTCTTGAAATCCTGGTTCCTTACTGAGTGCATGATCTTACAGGAAGCCTCAGTTTTTTCGTAGGTGAATGGAATGACATATGAGAATTGTCATGAAAAAAGATGCTGTGTCTGGTGTATGCCAGTGGTAGGTGTTCAGTACCCTGATTCTTTGATCCTCAGAGTCTTTTAAAGTCCAGGCCTGTGTGACTGGGTCAGTGCTGTCTCCCTGGCAGAGACAACCAGGGTGCTCGAGGCTTAGAAACCGTTTCCACGTGTGTTTGATACAGAGTTTCACTCGCGCTCGCTAGGTCAGAGGACAGAGTGTCTCTACCTGCCGGCAGAGCAGACAGGTCTCAGCTGGTGCACACGGTGCAGTGTGTGGCCAGCGGGGAGGCAGCGAGCGTCTTAGGAGCAGCTACTGGACTCACGCCTGCGCTGCCTTCCCCAACCCACACCGGTCTTTTGCCTGTTGAAGCTGAGGGTTCTGCCCTTCATACACCTCCGTGCTTGTAGGTTTAGGGCTGAATTCCACATGGAACGGATGGAGGGGCTCTGTCAGCCTTCAGCAATGCCGACTTCCGAGCCAGGGGTGGGGTTCGAGAAACCGAATCACTTTGCCCCTTAAGAGAGAACACCTGCATCTCAGGACGAGCAACTACCTCTTCCCTGATGAGGCCACTAGTGTCTGCTTCCAGTCCCAACTGGAGATATGTTCTTTGGCAGGGAGAGGAGGGCCCTATGGGAGGACGGTCACTTATGGAGCACCGGCTGTATTCCAAGCTCTGTGCAGGACATTCTCCTGGCCATGCGCCCCACAAGGCTCCTGAGGGCCTGGCCTGAGGGTCGCATTGCTTCAGACCCTCCCAGCCCCTTTGCAGACGAAGGAGTGAGGCCAGCACAGACCTGGACTCCCTTGTGCCTCCTTCCCCGTGTCCAGGGGCCCTTCCCCACGCAGCTCCTCTCCCACACCAGGTAGACACGTGGCGTTTCCCATGCTGCAAAGTAAAGCGGCTTCCCGGTCGCGTGTCGTGTGGTCTGTCCTACGCTCGGACCATTAGCCAGAAGTTCTGAAAGTCCCTTCCCTCCTGCAGCCATCGTCAACCGTGACGGCACCCGCTACGTCAAGAAGGGAGAGTACAGAACCAACCCCGAGGACATCAGCCCCAGCACCCCCACGGACGACGACGGCAGCAGCGGGGCATCCAGCGAGAGGAGCACCTCGGGGGGCTACAGCGTCTTCCACACCCACCTGCCCACGGCATACCCGACCTCGGACCAGGACGGGCCCTGGGTGTCGCGCCACGCGGAGAGCAGCCCTGCCACCAGTAAGAGCGCTTGCTGTGCTTCCTGTGTGGCCAGTGGGACATCTCTGGCCTTCCCGAGTGACGTGCGCCCACGTGCAGTTGTCCTTGTGTCTCTGGACATCTGAACATAGGGGGCGTCGGGCAGGGGGCTGGAGGCTGTCAGTGCCCTGCGTGTGTCGACACTGCTGGCGGCCCTTGGCCCATCTGCGAGTCTGTTTTTCATGCCCTGATAGGGCGGGCCGTGTTGGAAGCTTCTAGAACTCCCTGTTTGCCTGCTCAACCCAACATCTCTCGTTTCCCAGGCATCCTACTTGCCCCTGCCCTTACAGGGGAGGTTCTCTGTGAAGCTGCATCCCAGGGCACACCTCCCAGCCAGCAGCTCTTGCCTCACTAACCTTGTGCTTCACATTTTAACCGAATTGTACTTGTGTTCCCGGCCATGGGACACTCCGTTGTAGTCCCCAGCCACCATTTGCTAGACAGGCCCTGTGGTCTTGGCCCAGAGCAGTTTCCGGCCCATCACACCAGATTGGGAGTTCTGTGTCCAGTCCACTAGGCGGCGGGGTGTGGGTCTGCCTTGGACTGCCCTTGGAGACCAGCACGCTCTGCAGGACTCTGGGGGGGTGCCCTCGCTTGGCTCCCCTGGGTGGTGGGCATGTCTCCCTCTGTCTCCCCCCAGGCTCTCCCTGTGGTGTGTTTGAGGCAGGTGTCCATGCTAGCCATCTTCCCCCCTGGGCAACTTTGTTGGGGTGCTGTCTTCGTATGTGGGCTTTCTCTCTTCTCAAACATTTTTCCGAGGGGCAAGCTCTGGCCTCCAGGAGAGCTGCAGACCCAACCAGCTCGTGAATGCGAGCGGGGCTCTTCCTGCCTCGGCAGCTGGAAGCCAGGGCCTCCGCGCTCCCTGACTTGACTTAACGTCACTTGCTCAGAGAGTGGGAAACGTCTTTGGATACCTGCTGAGGGGGACTTCCCACCAGTCCCCGCAGACGCTCGGAAGCGTTTTGAAAGGCAGACCCCTTCGCCCAGCCCTACTCCTGTGGGATTCTGGTCGCCCTAGGGAGCACCCCTTGCTGTCTGGGTCCTGGGACCTCCTGGGACCCGGAACCCTTCAACACCAGGCCGCCCTGCCAGTTCCCCGCTGTCCTGGGCACCCCCTCCCTCAGTTCCTGCGTGGAAAGTGCTTATCACCAGGTGGGCAACCCAGTAATTAGTGTCTGGCAGGGAGCTGAACAGGTTGAGCCTGAGGTGCCATTTCCCACCAAGAAGAAAGTCCTTAGCCGGGCGTGGTAGCGCATGCCTGTAGTTCCAGCTACTTGGATGGCTGAGGCGGAAGGATCGCCGGAGCCCAGCAGGTCAAGGCTGTGGTGGCCGGGAGCGGCCACTGCACTCCAGTCTGGGTGACAAAGTGAGACTCCAACTCAAAAAAACAAAAAAAAAAGAAGAAAGTCCTGAGCAGGCAGACTGGGGGAGGAATCTCTCTACATGCTCTCTACATGACTAACCTGGGAGAGAGAGACTGGCCAGTCCCCTGGTGAGTGAGGGCTAGCCTGGAACCACCAGACACGGTGGGTCCCAAAAGGCCCAGGCAGACCAATTCCCGCCAAGGAGCACACCCCGGGGGGAAGAGGTAGGAACTTGACTGCTGAGCGGGGCAGGACAGGGAGGTCCTGAGTAGGACTGGGGCTCAGCCGCCAGCAAGGAGCCCCTGGAGCCTGGTCCTGGCTGGACTGAGCTGGTGGGTGCGGGAGTGACGGGCTGGCTGGGTGCACGGGGGCAGGGGGCGGGCCTGCAGCCTGGCCGCCTCTTCCCCCCAGGGTCTTTGGTGGCGGGTATAGAGCAAGCCCGCAGGGCCGCTGGCAGCGTGGAAGCGGGCGTAGAGGGCCGTCTGTGACAGTGTTGTCTTTGAAAGAGCCCTGAAGGCTGTGCTGGCCTCTTTCTATTGGTTTCCTGAACTCTCAGGGGTCAGGAGACCAACGCTTGTTCAGGAAGCTATCTTTGCCCCGGCACGCTCCATTTCCTGGACTGCTGGTGCCAGAGCGGTGCTTTTTGCTTCCTTTTTGGTCTGGCCTGGCCTGCTTGGGTGGAGTTGGTTGGAAGCTCGGCCGCCATGGCAGCGCTTTCCCAGTCTTTACCTCTCACAACTCTTTCTAGGAAGACTGACCCACGCCTTTTTCTGCCTTGTTCTCGAAGGTTCGTTTCCATGGGGCTGCTTCTTTCTGGTGAGCTGCAGGGCGTGTGGCCGGTGCTGTGCATCTCCGACAGAGTCTCTGAGGGGACAGTGGCATGTCTGGGCTTTCCAGGGATGCGCAGGCCTGGCTGGGGCCTCCAGGTGACGGCAGCTCCTTCCCTCTGCTGTCTCTTCTGACCTCTTGGGTCCTTTCAGCACAGAACACGCCATGCTGGTTGTTGGCATTTGTTACTCGTGGAGTCAAAGTGTTTAACCCAGGGTCCATGGACTGCCGATGGATTCCCTGGCGGGCCATAAGGTATTCCAGAACCATCTGGAAATGACCTGCAGAATGTTGAGAGTGTGGACATGTGGGGTCACCTCTTGAGGAGAGAGGCCATAACGTAGATTTCCCAAGGTGTGTGTGACTTCAGTGGCCTAGAACTCTCAGCCGGCAGAGGTGTTTTTTACCCAGAGGACTTCTGCCATGCCGCTTCCTCAGGGAAACCATCTGGCCTAAAGTCACACATGAGAGTCAACTGAGAGATTTCAAACAGCGTGTCACTGCCTGTCCTTCCCCTAATTTGAGAAAAGAGTCCAGAATTTCTCTGACTTTGACAGTTTTGACTTTTTCAAGAAACACACACGATTAGGATGAAAGTGACAGAGGTGGTAGACACTCGAGAAAGCTTGTCTGGTTTCACACTTGGAACACGCTGCCCTTGCCCAGCCCCTGCTCAGGGGTCAAGTCTGACTCGAGGCTGACAAGGTGGGTGGGCTCTTGGGGGCCCAGCTGTCATCCGAGGCACCTGGGTGCACATCCAGACAGACGCGGAAGGCACGGGTCTGCAGACCCAGCCTCCCCAGAGACAGGAGGGACAGCTGCCTCCCAAAGGGCTGCTTCGAAGGCCCCAGTGTGCAACTTGGCCACTAAGTCAAGTGAACGGAAAATCTTTCTCCACGATGTGTTCTCGAGTGGCTGCTGGTTTTGCTCGGGTCCTGAATGCTGAGGCTCGGCTTGAGTGACAGTGAGCGGCACTGGGTTGGCCCCGTTGGAATGTGCATTTCTGATGTTGTCCCGAGATTCCGGGAGACTCGAGGAAGCTGGAAAGATGGAGACAGGCAGAGGTGTGACCCTCTGGGTCTCACTTACTGGTGGGCGCAGGCTTCCTGCACAGGCAGCTGAGAGGAGGGGTTGTGTGCAGGGATCTCACTGCGTGGTGTCTTCCCAATTGATCCAGCCACCCCAGCTGTGCACCCAGACAGCCATGCAGTCGCTCGGAAGGAGGGTCATTGGATGTGGTCCTGGCTGGGGAACTCACACCCTCAGGCTCAGGATCGCACGACACCAGCAGCGCCAGGTAAACTGTGACGCCTCTTGCTTCTCGGCTGTCCCCTTCCAGGTCTGTCCGTGTTAGGGAAGAGCATGGCCATGGCCACGCCAGAGCTCCCCGCAGGTACCCCTCCGCGTCCTCAGCACGGCTGGGCCGGGCCACTTTCTTTGCTAAAGAGGCCCGTGGGCCTAGGGTACCCTGGGGACTCCCAAGCACCCTTTTTTGCCTGCCTTTCAGCAGCATGTATGTAGAAAGGGGAAAGGAAGAACTTGATGGTTTGGGATCAGTGAATGAAACCGTGAACAACCACGAGGGAGTGAGTGAACGGGCCATGCAATTCCTTTGGAAGACGTCCCCTAGAGAGAAGTCTGTCAGGAAACGCAAGCTCTTGCTCTCTGCTGATCTGATGATCACAGTCAATGGTATCAGAAGGAGTTGCTAACTTCCCTCTAGAATTAAGGGGAGGCCCCGACACGTCTTTGGACACTTAGAACCTCGACCGTAGCAGGCAGGAAAGGGAACACGACTTGTTGTTCCACATCAGAATTGAGGCCTCTAACAAGCTCCTGGGTGTGTGGCTGTTAGCGCTAAGGCCCCACGGAGTGTCATGGCATGGGAGTTCTGGGGAGAAAAGAGTCAAAATATCAGAAATATCATATCCTGTGAAGGTGCGAGATTACAAGCAAATCTCCGTGTGTCCACCTTCAGGGTTGAGGTGATGGCCATACTTCAGAGCCACTGGGGGTTCTGCAGGGGGCAGCCATAAAGGTGGAAAAACGGTTCTTGACATTTGTTTAGCTTAGAAGATGTTGGGTAAATTGTATTCTTTATTTCTATAAACGGTCGTGTAAGAAACAGCACTGACGCGTTAGGGCTGTCATGTCACAGTGGTTGACATGCGGGGTGGGGGAGAGCGTGCAGAAACAAGGAAATGCCCCTTTAAACGTTAACAGTGCTTATCTTCATAGGATAGACTGTGAAGGAACAGGCCTTCTTGTCAGTGTTTCATCTTGGGTCATTTCTGGGCTTTCTTCGTTGCTGAAAAAGAAGAATCCAGCTCACCTTACTTCTGTGTTGGGGATGAATGCTGGCTTCAGCCTCTGCTCGAACTGGCTCTGGGCTTTTTGTCTCTGTATCTACTCCTCCGATGCACATCATCATGGTTGCAGAAATGGCGGTCACTGGATGTTTTCCAATCAAGACTCTCACTTCCAGTATCATTAGTGGGATCATGGATCACTTCATCTCTGTCTTTCCTAACTGATGATCCTGTTTTTTAAAAAATGGGGCTCAAAATGTCCTGTTCTGCTTTGCAAATGCAATGCTGATATGAGGCGTCACCGGGCAGGTTGTTCTAGGCTTTAGACTTAGGCCGAGCACCTTGTCCTGTCTTCTTCTCCTGTGTCATCTTGCCTGTGTTCTGGATCGTTGGGATGATGTGTCTGTGGTTGCTGGCAGAAATACCATATCCTAGATTCTTGGTGGATGATATTGGTTCCACACAGACAGGCCGTGTGGAAGATTAAGGAGCTGGGACTCTCGAGAATCGTAAACTCTCAGATCTGGAGAGGACGTTAAATGGTCTGGTTCCGTCAACAGCTCTCACCGTTGAGTCTTGCACACAACTTTCTGCCCAGCAGTCTTCCTGAAACGGGGACGGTGAAACTTTCTGAGGTCCATCATGGGATGGCCCATGCCTTCTAAAACCGTCTTTGGAAGGACATCTGTCTCCCTGTATTTTTTGCCACAGGTCCTAATTTGGCCTCGTGGGTCCAGAGACAAAACTTTCCTTCCTCCTCTACGCTGTAGACTTTGGAGATCCAGAGACTGCTCTCGCCGCTCCGCGAGACCTCTCTGTTGCTCGTCAGCCTCTCACTTCCCAGAGTCAGGAGCTCTGACCGGCACGACACGCTCACCTTTCAGATGAGGCGCGTGAACCAGACAATAGTTGAGGTCCTTCCGTCTCTGACGTTCTGTGGATACCAGGTTGGGCCTCGGCAGGAAACGGCCTTCTCTGCTGCTTCCCTTTCTTTCCATCCATATCAGGCATAGATGGTTCTGTTGCGTGCTAAAGAGAGAGTAAGCGGATGCAGTGCTGTTCTTGGGAATTGACATCTAACCTCTCGACAACCGGTTTGACGGTTCCCACAGTACTGACCACCCCCGAAACACCAACCGGGAGACCAGGAGCACAGGACTGGTTTTCATGGTGGTTTTCACCATCAGAAGCCAAGAATGATCTTCACACCACAACGCAAATGGCTGGTAATGAGCTATGATTGTCTCCTATCTGTGGTTTCCGGACAGTCTTTTCGTTGACCTTCCTTAGCTTGCTGTTAAAGCCTAAAGTCCCTTCTGTTCCCACACATGTCTGTGATGACTTGAGAAGGGCCGGGAGCTCTAGGACCTGTATGTTTGGTTTTGCAGCACTCATAAGTGGATTTCTTCTTCTACTGGATTAGGGTTAAGGTAGCCTCAAAGGAATCTTATGTGGGGACCACGAAAAAGGGACAGGTCTTCCTTGGTGACAGAGCAAAAGTGATTGGAGAGATTACGCACACATAGTCTAAAATTACTGACGTCATAGAAGGTTTTTGCTTTTCATGATAAAATAAAACAGCATAGCTGGATCCAACATAGTGTAGGAAGCCTTCCACAGTGGAACTCTCCTTGGGGTGGAGGCTAGTAGCATGAAAAGATACATGGCCGTTCCCTGAGATCACCTGCATTGCATCTGAAATGTAGAAAACCCCTTTTCAGTGGAGCGGCATCACGTCTTCCAGGGTGACCACAGGGAAGAGGTGAAAGGTCTGCGTCTCCTTTTTAGTGGCCACCTCCAAAGGGAGCAGGTGGGGCTTCCTCAAAGCCCCAGCCACGATCCGCTTCTGCCCGGCCTTCGGGCTGGCTGGTGGGTGCCGGGAGTGACTCAACTGCCCACCGGCTGAGCCGTTCCTGCTCTTTGCTGACGTTCTGTTGGGGACCTCAGTGTGGCCCCCAGCTGTGTTCAGAGCTCCAGTGACTGGATGCTAGAGAAGACGAAGAAACGCATTAGCAAACCACGGCCCTGACTGTGGGAGTTGAGAAATGACGGACATAGGTTGAGAGGCCCAGGTTTCTCCAGGGGGTCTCCACGAAGGAAATAAGCCACATGCAGACCTTCCCATTCTGTCCTTAACATATTTGCTTCTAAGTTAGCGTCAGGTGCCTCCAAGAGCACAGGGGCGCTTCCATCGATCGGCCTGTTAAAATAGTCTTTGGAGATGTTATGTCCATTTTTATTCTTTTGGTGGTTCTTAAAGAGACACTCCATCGTAAAGGTCACAGCCAGGTGTCTTGTGACGTGCACATCAGCGTCAGTGTCCAGGATGTAAGACTCTGGGGCCCACAGGCCAACTCTCGCTTTCCTCTTAACATCCTGGGAGACCCAGGATCCTTCTGTGCCCAATGGCCTCCTTGGCGATCACTGGGATCTGGGCTTCTTGGCACTAGCTCAGCCACTAACGTGCGTCACCACAACAGGTACGGAGTCAAAAACCGCCTCCATGGGCTGGGAGCCCGACGCAGAAAATGACGACGAAAGAGACAAACACCCGAGCTTTTCTGGATCAGGCATTGATGACGACGAAGACTTTCTCTCCAGCACCAGTAAGGATAACCATGACGGTGGAAGAGTGTGCAGAGGCCCACTCCTGCTCCGGGTGGCGCCCGGCAGTGTATAGCTCGGGAGGTGGTGGACGTGAGATGTATAAGCTGTGGCCGCCCCTCGGGCATACCCGGATAAGGCTGTGAATGAGAGCTAGCATGTTTGGGGCGGGAGTCGAGCATACTGAGAAGTGAAATGGGAACTGCGCTTCTTAGAAATCGTCCACTGTGAGCCAGGCACGGTGGCTCACGCCTGGCATCCCAGCACTTTGGGAGGTAGAGGCGAGAGGACAGCCTGAGCTCGGGGGCTGGACACCAGCCTGAGCAGCATGGCGAGACTTCTCTCTACAATCAGTCAAAAGATCAGCTGGGCGTGGTGGCGCACGCCTGTGGTTCCAGCTCCTTGGAAGGCTGAGGCGGAAGGATTGTCTGAGCTCAGTGGGTCGAGGCTGCAGTGGCCGTGAGCGTGCCACTGCACTCTAGCCTGGGTGACAGAGTGAGACTCCGACTCAAAAAAAAAAAAAAAAAAGAAAGAAAGAAAATGTCCACTGTGTCCTGTTCTTCCCGTCTTGTGTCTTTGAGAGGTCTGCTCCTGTAACTTTCCTGCAAGCCCTCAAGCTGTGTAAGACAGTGACATATTAAAGATTTCAGCAGTTCACTATGTCCCTACCATGCTAGATGCCAGGACCAAAGAAGGGAAAGGCCTGGGCCTGGGCCTCTAGGGAGCGCGGCCTGTGGGAGCAGGAGACTCAGAGACTGTGCTCAGGGGGTGTCAGTTAAAGATGAAGACCCTAGATTCAAGGTCTCGGTCAGGCTTAAGGGACAGGAACCAGGACCCAGGGAGCATCTTGGTTCACCAACACCTGGTGGAGGTCAAGGGAGCCAGTCTGAGTTTCAGCAGAGCAGGGGCACTGAAGGGAGGCACGCCTGGGCCCAGCCTGCCGAGGCAGTGCCAGCCAGTGGCAGCACCCAGGGAAGCCGCTGTTGGGACGCAGCTGGGACGCATCTGTGACCAATGTGACACTTCTGGAGAATAAAGAGATGGAAGTGGAGCCGAACGATTTAACTGCAAGTGAGCTGGGTCTCTTCTGCCCAGTGCCTGAGTCTCTCCCTGGGATGACCCAGGCTTTGCTGAGAGGACTGACCCTGATGCCATCACAGCCCCACTTTTGCTTAGAGAAAAAGCTCACCAGGGAGGACAGGGTCTGAAAACATAGCTGAGGCCTTGGAGGCATCTGAGGGCATGCCCAGGATGGCCCAGGTCTTCATACCCACAGTGAAAAGCGGGGTCTTGTTTAGATCCGACACCGCCCCAGAGCTGAGTCTGTGGAAAAAGGAAACTCTTTTCGGTAACTTCAGAAAGAAAACCAAATCACCCAAACCCCTGGGCTCTATGACAACACCGTGTCTGGTGCTCGGGACGCGGTCCAGTCTTGAGGTAGGCCTGTGGTGCCTAAGAGAAGCTCCCTAGGATGGCAGCCCAGATGGATCAACTACAATCTGTGGCGCAGTCAGGCAGTCAGGCTCCAGGCAGAAACTTCCTGTGGCCTAAGGTCTCCGTAGCGTGTCTTCCCGTCTCAGTTTGCTTTTCTACTCTGCACCTGTGCACACCCTGCAACAGGATGCCGTCTTTCTCTGGGAGGGTGTGGCCTCCGCCCCTTGTGACTGCTTGTGAGAGTATGGTTAGTGATGCCAAGGATGATTCTCATAACTTGAGAAGCAGAGCTGATGGCATTGTCGTTCTGAAGAGTTTGTATTGTGTGGGCATCCAAATAAAGCATGAACAGATCAGGGCGGATTTGCAAACAAGCTTTTCACAAAAGATGGCGGCTCTGGTTTCGCCATGATCCTGTTGCGGGCATCGCCTGGTCCGGCCCCCACCCCCGGGTGACGGCATCATGACACTGGCGGACGGGCCCTCCTCGCTTCCGTGGCTGCCGCGGTGGTGGTGGGTCGCCTGGCCTTCTGCTGAGGTGTGCTGGGTGCTGGGACCATGGAAGAGAGGAGCCGGGCCATTGAGCACGTGTGTCTTGTCCTCTCGCTGGCTTGGGTGTCTTGCTCCGGTGGTTTCCACGTGCTGAGAATGCCACAGGCGTGGGATGAAAACTCAGAAGCGTGCAGCTGTGCCATGTGGCTGTTCAGGTGGACTCTGGGACTCCTCCGTGGGAAAGCCCTGGCTGCCCAGGAGCTCCTTCCCCACCAAATTTCTAGCCAAGCAAGGCGACCGTCGTGGCATGACCTTCAGCCCCGCCTCCCCGCCTGTGGGTTGCTCCCTTGCTGGTAACACAACGTCCTGGGCAGAGGGCCACCGCAGACCGCGTGGACAGCCACACGCCGCTGCCTTTCTTCTCCCTGGTGGAGGGCTGCTGCTTCAAAGCTGCTCCTGCTGCCTCTCGGAAGATCGCAGGCTCTGAGCCTGGTGCTCTGTAACAGACACGGAGGACGCTGGGATGCCTCCCGACACTCTGGCCCGAGCCCTAGGCGCTCTCCCCTCCCGCCACTCCCACGCGGCTGTCTATGTGCCCGAGTATAGCTGACAGCACAGACCGCAGAGGGAGATGCACGCGGGACGGTGGTGGCAGCCCAAGGTGTGACGGGTCCTAATTGCTTCCATCGTCGTTATCACAGTTTCAGCCACGCCATGGGCTCCTGACTACACAGAGCCGCACCAGGACTGGAGCCAGTGGAACCCAAGCCGCTCATACTCGGAGGTGCTGCTTCCAACAGCCACACGGAGCACTGGTAATGGTTGTTCACACTTTGTCAGAGGTGTTTTCCCTCAAAGCCTGTGATGCATCATGGGACCCGGTGGGACATTTAGTCACTCTCTCAACACGATCTTGGTGGTTCATGAGGATACTCAACTCCAGTTCGGAGGCAGTTACGCCTGGGGGCCCCAACCTGCAAGCCGTGGACTGGCACGGTCCACTGCCTGTCAGGAACGGTGCACACAGTGGGCGGTGAGGGGCAGGAAGCAGAGCCCCACCTCCTGTCAGATCAACAGCGACATCAGACTCCCCTGGGAGTGTGAACCCCCTGTGAACTGTGCACGCCAGGGATCTGGGCTGCGGCCCCTGAGGAGAGTCTGATGCCTGCTGATTCCCCACCGCGTAGAAAAAATGGTCTTCCACAAAACCAGTCCCTGGTGCCAAAAAGGTTGGGGACCACTGAGTTATACCATCCCAGCACAGGCTGTCAGGTCACTTCAGCATAAAAACACATACATCCAGGTGGTTTATGGTTCTGCCTCCAAGTAACAGTCACGGAGAAAGTCCATGCAGTTTTCTCTTGGGACATATAAGCAGAGGCACTCAGAATTGCTGGGCCTGGAAACCCAGAGGTGGCAGGTACTTAAAGGGAAGCATAGGCTCAGGAGAGGCCAATGGGTAACAAGTCCCATGTATTTACCCATCGTCACAGCAGACGTAGACACAGGTGGCACCAGCACTCACGGAGGACACTGGACCCAGGAGCCTCAGCCGCCTCTCACCCACCACGGACATCCCAGCGCCGAGGAGACACAGCCTCCTTCAAGCACGAGTAAGGAGGATGGTGCCGGCCGTGCTGGCTTAGGGAGTTAGTGAAGACGTTCAGAGAGGGAGAAGGCACGTGCAGTCGCTGGCCACATCTCCTGTGTCCACGCAGTAATTCCCTTTCTCCCAGGCCCCAGGCATGGGAAGAAAAATGCTACCTTGCGGGGTTGCCCAGAGGCCTGATGCTGAAGGGGAAGCTCTGAGGTGCAGTGTTGTAGAACGATTCCATAGGGCCCACGCGGGTGCTGGTGTGTGTGTGGACATGTCTGGTGATGCGTGCTCCTGTGGTGCCCCGCAGAGGATGCGAGCAGCGGTCTCTGGAGTCCTCGTGCTCTGTGAGGACTGCGACAGACGGAGCTCCACCCCCCGCCTGGTGCCCCGTGCCCCAGAAGGCACCGGGCCCCGGGGCAAAGCTGGTGGCCGCTGTGCCCCATGTGCGGACCCTGTTCCCTTGCTGCTCGTAAGCGCAGGGCAACTTGGGGAGCGCTGGGTGCTCTTGCCGCTGGCCCTGCTGCTGCTGCTGCATCCCAAGTCCTGAGATGTCGCAAGTCTCCCTGGTCTGGGAGGAAGGGACCTGTGTGCTCTCCTTTCTCCATCTGCCCCCGCCCCCCAGACACCAGTCTCCTCCAGTCTGAAAGACTGTTTCTGTGGGATACCAGCTTGTAGCCATTTGAAAACAGTGGTTCAGGATTGCGCTCACAGCCCTGAGTACACCTAGAGGGAAAAGGTGTGCTGTGATGGCAGCTATGATGGCAGCTTGGACGCCCGAGGGGTTTGGGGCTCTGTGGTTTGAGGGCCATCTCCAGACAGCAAAGGACACGTTCCAGAAATTGGCTGGGATGCAGCTGACACATCCTGCACGCTGACCTGAGTGCACCCAGAAGGTCTCACATACGCCGCTCAGGGACTAGTGGGTGCATGAGGGTGATGCACTCCCTTAACAAGGACGCTTGTGATGAGGAAGGGAATAGAGGAGTGAATGTCTCCAGGGAGTGGGATTCCAGCCCGCCCCTCGGTCCTAGCAGCACATCTTAGATGGCATTGTAGACAGAAGGCTGCTTCAGAGGCTTGGAGTGGAAGAGCTGGTGTCAGGAGGCAGGATGGGGGCATCAGCCCTGGTGGACCGACACCAGGCAGTAACAACCGAGTGCTCGCCCGTCAGACTTGCCCCCCCGCAGAGCTCCGACAGGGAGCCTCTGGGCCCGTCTGGAACACTGCGCCTTCCAGAGGAGTCAACTTTCACCCCTCACGACAGAACCCTTGTCCTGCTGACCCGCTCCTGTGATGCCGAGAACCCTGGGGGCTCACCATTGCTCAGGAGGCTGTGTTTGTAAGAGTGTGACGAGAGGGGAGAGGCATCTGTGCACAAACGTGAACACGCACATGCCTGTGTTTTTCTTAAACTTCGTGTCATACGACAGTCTGTGTTGGGTCCACTTTTCCTTTTTTGTGATCACACTCCGTGGTGTTCTGACTTCATTATTTGTCAAGGGGTTGTGATTTGGTCCGGGGCTGGCACGGCTGGAGTTTTGGCCTTTTTCTCCCTTTGGCTAACCGGCTCTCCCCAGGAACCGTTTGGCCAAGTTGAGGGGAAAACACAGGCAATAGGCTTCATTTTTTAGATGTCCTTGCAGTCGTTTCTTAAGACAATGAAAGACAACCGGTTCTACAAGTTGCAAAGAATTCTTTGGTTCCACAAGTTGACAAGCTCTCATCCTCCTGATGAACTAAAGCTTGACTGTGAGTGGTGTGGACAGAAATGCCGGTGGCTTCGTGACCTTTCCTGGAGGCACCCTGCTGGAACTCTGTTCTGTTTATTTTGTCTTTTTTAAAATGCCAGTTGACATTGTAAGCCTGCCACACACAACTGCTGTTTATTCAATGCCCGATCAGGCTGAATAGTTTTTCTTCCACTGGATTAATTTTGTTAAAAAGTGAGTTTAGTTGGGCTCCGTGGCTCAGCCTGTCATCCCACACCTTTGGGAGGCTGAGGTGAGTGGACTGCCTGAGCCCACGGGTTCGAGACCCGCCTGGGCAGCGAGACCTCATCTCTACAATAAATCAAAAAATCAGCCGGGCGTGGTAGCGCATGCCTGTAGTTCCGGCTACTCGGAAGGCTGAGGCGGAAGGATCGCCGGAGCCCAGCAGGTCGAGGCTGTGGCGGCCGGGAGCGGCCACTGCACTCCAGTCTGGGTGACAGAGTGAGACTCCAACTCAAAAAAAAAAAAATTGAGTTTAGCTACTGTAGATGCCATGTGACATCCCCACGTCACATGTCTGTGGAGCAAATCCCAGCCACCCCCACTGGCTTGTGCAGTTGTGGGTGACATGACCGCTGCTCAAGCAGGCTGCCCGCTGGGCTGGTCTTGCCATAGTTGGTGCATAACATATTCCTGGAATGGCTGAACAAAGACCAGCTCCTTGAACAGACAGTCTTCCCAGACGGGCCACATGAGGCGAAATACGGACAATCCTGGGAACTCGTCTCGCCTTTGCACCAACCTGACCATAGTCTTGAGCAGTGGAAGCCTCTCTGGCCTCGGCTCTTCCATCTGGGCTGTGTGAGTTCTGATCTTTCTTTCAGAACACCGGGCCCATCTCCTTGCTGCCCCTGTCTCCCTTCTCTCCTCATGTGCCAGGTAGAAGTGGGTGCTGGCGATCGGTGAGGACACTGGACAACTGGCTCACGCCGACCTTCTTGCAGTCTAGGCACCTCCTGGTGCCACACTTGAAGAGGCAGCTGTCCAGAAACAGCCGTGGCTTGTCACCGGGGGGAGAGGGGGCACGTCCCTAGATTCCCAGAGAAGATTCTTGTTTGACGGCAGGGCCAGCTGGTGATGGATGGTTTAACAAGCACATGGGGTGGGAACTTCCCTTTGGGTTAAAGGCTGGGCATTGAAAACACTGAAGGGACTGTCAAAAGACGTCCGGTTCCCTAATTAATCATGTTGCAGTTGACTCAGAGCCAGCCCTTAAACACACAGCAAGTCACCCGGATAGGCGTGGGGACAAGCATGTAAAGGAAAGCCAGGGATGGCCTTGAATGTCCATCTCAGATCCTGCTTGGGGCATCGCTTGTGACGTTGCAGCAGAGACCACCCCGATCTTACAAGAGAACCTCCTTTGCAAGAGAATCCACTCTAGAACGTGGACCGGGCTTTCCAGTGAGGCTCTAGGACACTGGCTTGTGAGGAAGCCCTTGGTTGGTGTCCAGTGCTGGAAGAAATGGAGCCAGACTTGGTGAGAAGCAGGACCCTGTCTGACATCACCCCGCTTCAGGCCATGTCTGGGCGTACAGTGTTTCTTCTTGTGTTTACACAAAGGCACCCGTCTATCTGAGCAGTGGGATCGTGGAGATTGGAATCCCGCATGGCATGGTGTCACTAAGAGGACACCAGTGTTCCCCATGGTGGGCCTTGGCATGGTGTCGCCAAGGCGACATCGGTGGCCTCCGTGGCGGGCTGTGGCATGGTGTCACTAAGGGGGCGCTGGTGTCCTCTGTGGCGGGCCGTGGCGTGGTGTTGCTGCCAAGGGACACTGTGTCCTCTTTCCTGCCCACTTTTCCCCGCGGGCTCCGTGCGAGGTGTTCTTTCACATTGTTCATCCCACAGAACATACAGTGAGGGGTCATGCTTCCAGTGGGTTTGGCTCATGCTGTTGGGATGAACAGCATTTCCTTGCACGTTTTCACGTGGGAAGCCATCACGATTCCTTCCATAGACCGCAATCCGCCTGTCATGCATTTTGCTGGAACGTGGTTGTTTGCACATGATATCACGTGCTCTGTCTTAGATCTCCGCCCATGGGTACGTGGCTCCATGGCTCGAGGACGACTTCTCTGTCTTCCCTGGACGTCTGTAACTCATCCTCTCCCCACTGCAGGAGTCTTCAGCTTCTGTGTCCTGCAGGTCACGTGCTGATTGCTAAGAACATGAGCATGCGTGAACCTCAACCTGCTGGAACATTCTGCATCTGCCACTTCCTTGCCCTCCAGGCCAAGGAAGTCTTGGCCTCCATTGTCTTGTCTAGAGAATAAAGTCTCTAAAAGCTCAGTGCCTCCCTGGCCAAGGGTCCACTAATTCCTTGGCCACTGCTTGACCTGAATGCTCGCAGCATCCTGGGCCCACACCAGCTACCCAAGCCAAACAGCACAGACGACAGTGCCTGGGCAGACGTCCCCGATGGGTCACATGCGGGGGATGGACCCACCACATGGAAAGAGCGATGGGGCATAGCCTCTGAGCTTCCTCATATGCTGTTTTTGAAATCCTCTCAGTGATTGCTTTTCTAGAAATAAGCCCTTGGCTCTAGGCCCATTTGCTTACTTGAGGGACTTGCAGTTTCTTCAGAAGAGAGGCGCGCACGGCCCTCTAAGTGGGACATCCTGGGCTAAAGTGAAGACCCGGGTCGGAGCCGGCAGAAAGCAGCATTCAGCATCTGCGTGCCCAGCAGCGTGTGGCAGAGAGCAGTAGGTGAGGAACGTGCATCGCTAGAAAATGCGGGGGAAATTGAGAGAACGGCCCTTGCGCCCTGAGAGAGCGGCACAGAAGGGAAGCTTAAAGCTGGTATTCGGGAAATGGAAAAACCCGGATATTCAGAGAACAGAAGCGGGCATTTTCCTGGGAAGGAGACACATGAAGAGGATGAAAAGCCAAGGATGAGCACGTCTACATGAGTGTATCGTCTGACACACGGGATGATGTGTCCAAATGGCCAGGTCGGGGCCATCAGGTTGAGTGACAGACGTGCCCCCTCTGACCCAGCACACGTGTGCTTGCATGTGGCCTTGAGGGGCTCTGAGGACACCCTGGGGGAGCCAAGCCAGCATGAGAACTGGATCCACATTAAGTCTCCATACTGGGGATGAGAAGGAGCCCATGGCAGGACAGTGCTGTTGGCTTTAAGCATGGGACGGTGCGACATCCTCGAGGGAATCTTCGTGAAAGGGTACCTCGAAGGAGTCTTCGTGAAAAGGGAAGGGGAGCCAGAGTGTCACAAGCCCATCATGTGGACCCTCCACTTAGGCTTTTGGTTGGGGCTAGCTGGCCTTGGCTTTGTTTTGAGATCTGGGCCAATAGAGTCTGCCACTGTCATCCTGCAAGGCCTCGATTCTCACAGCACATGGGGTTGTGGTGCAGAGCTGGACCCCAGCCACCCCCCTCGGAGTCAACTGGAACTGGTGCCTCTCCCCACGCAGTGGCATGGGTGGACCCGGACAGTCTTGAGGCAGCAGGACCGATGAGTTTACGGACTGGCCCCTGCTTCACTGAGGACTTGTCCTTTGCAGAACTGATCTGCAATGACCGGGAAGAAAAACACTGTGGCCGTTTCTGTGACATTCTGCACCATGCAATGCCATGCGTGTGAAATTCCAAAGACCCCTCGTCCTTGGTTTCTGGGAAGAAGGACTCAGCCACATCACCACATCTCCCTTCTTGCCCCGTGAACTTCCTGTGGCCTCCACCTGATGGAGTTGGAGGATGACCTTCAGTTTCTATCTGCACATTCACTTTGTGAAACGAAAGGCCCTCGGTGAGGGAAGAGAGCTATGAAACAGAAAGTCCTCTGCACGCCAGGAGGCCGGGGACCAGCGGTGTGACCGTGTGGCACAGTCTTTTCTCTGCATGTCAGAGTATGCGGGGCTCCTGTCTCTGTACCACGTGCTCACGTAGAGTCTGTCCTGACTCTGTGAATACGCAGGGACCACGGCTCCCACAGACGTCTGCCCTCCCAGGAAGGCCGGGTCCTTCTTGGGTTTGTCCCTTCGCGAAGCAGAATCCTTCCCAGGTCTGGAGAGCTCGCCCGCGGAGGCTTTCCCTCCTCCTGCCCTGTTTGAATGTAAACATGGTGGGGCCGTGGATTGTGAGCCACCCTCCACCAGTGGCTCGGGAGGCCAGGCGATAACACTGATGTGATTCCTTCAGATACGGATCCCGGTCAGAGAACAGTGCAGCAGCCCACGGCAGGCCCAAGCCCAGGGCCGGTGGAAGAGGAGGACTGGACGGGACCTCTTTCAGTGACACAGCGTAAGGATGATGGTGCTCAGCCTCTTGACCGGCCGAGTCCTGCTTCAGCCCCTGCCCCGTAGGCCGAGGTGCAGCGCTTGGTGGCGGGAGGCTGTTCCTTCCGTGCACTGTGTGGCCCAGCGGGAGGGGAAAGCCCTTTCACTGTGGGTTTTCCTTGGGGCCTTGCCCTTGTCTGCCTCCCTCCGGGTCTTTCCGTGCCCTGTATTTCCTGTGGGTTCTTTAAACCTGATTTTGCCTTCATTCCTGGTGCCTTCCAGATCCAGTGACTTTATGTTTTATAAAGAGGGTGTGGGACTCTGCTCAGCCATCTCCCAGTCTAAGTAGCCCCGTCGGTGAGACCCAGGCGCCCAGCTAGGAAGGGGGCTCCTCCGTTCTAGCCGGCCATCTCCTCCTGCGGGTTCTTTCTCCCTCAGTCAAGGCAGAAGAGGAGTGGGATCGCGCAAGGTTGTGAAGGGAACTTTGGGGCCGGCGAAGCCCAGGGAGTAGGGAAGGCCCATCTGCTTGCAGAGGAGGGGCAAGGCGACAGGGTCCCTGGAGCAGAAAAGAAACGGCTGCTCAGATCTGTCACGAGACGTTGATAGGACACAAGCTAAGCCCCTGGCAGCCTCCATGTCCACAGCTGTGCGGGGAGTCTGAGAGATCAGCCTGAAGTCATTCACAGTTTCTTGGTGGGCGTGAGAGGGCACAGATCTTGCCTGTGACACAGGCATCCCATAGGCACAGGAAGCGTCGGCACACGTGTGTCGTCAGGAGTGTCAGCAGCAAGGGTTGAGTGTCAGAGGGGATGCAGAGAAGTCTGGGGCCCTTCCCAGGATGACTTGGGCTTCCGCTTTGGGTCCCTATTGACTTCGGTCTGACGCTGGGCTGGGAGAGGAGAGTGTGTCTCTCCTGGCCGTGGCACAGCTTATGGGTCTCTCCTGGCTGTGGCATTTCTCTGGTGGTGGGCATGGCCTGTGGTCTTTCCTGGCCGTGGCATTTGGTGGTGGGCACTGTCTGTGGTCTCTCCTGGCCGTGGCATTTGGTGGTGGACATGGCCTGTGATCTCTCCTGGCCATGGCATTTGGTGGTGGGCACTGTCTGTGGTCTCTCCTGGCTGTGGCATTTGGTGGTGGGCATGGTCTGTGGTCTCTCCTGGCCGTGACATATGGTGGTGGGCATGGCCCATGGTCTCTCCTTCCTGGCCATGACTTTTGTGTGGTGGGCATGGCTTACGGGTGAGCATTATGAGATTCTTGCATCTGCAGCTCTAGTCAGCACCTTCTTAGAAGAATGCAAAAGAAGTAAATGCCACTGTCAGAGGGAGCTGGGGGGCCAGGCAGTGGTTCAGCCTCAGCCTGATGTGTGTCGCTGCGGGCCTGTGCTTGTCCAGGCAAGTGTGTCCTTGGTGCAGTGATGAGAATCCCCATCCACAGAGGAGGCCACAGACTTAATTAGGGCAAAGTGGTGGCTTTAATTGAATGGTCTTTCGGAGGGAGCTGAGTATTTCCTGTGTACACTGGATGTGGGTCACTGAGGGGGTGATTCTAGATAGGTGCTTTCTCTTCTGAGGTTCCAGGCAGCCTGCAGGCTGTTGCGGTGGGTGTTTTCCCCACAGTCACACTTCTTGACCGCAGTTGGGCACTCTGGATGCTTGGTAGGAACCTGGGATTCAGACCTTCCTTCCCATGTCCCTGTGCCCTCCTCCAGAGTGACTGGGAGTGACACCACGTTTGGGCCCAGGTGATCAGCCCGGAGGTATAGGTCCCGTCTTTCCAGGCCGCTTCCCTTGTTGTGGGCTATCCTGAGAAGCAGAAGGTCTTAGCGGTCAACTGGGGCCACAGAACTCTTCTGTCTCTTTCTATCGATCAGAGTAGAGTGGTGTCTTCCTAGGTGCCCACCCACTGGACACAGTTATAGCTAGATTCCCCGTTAGCCGACGGCAGGATGGTGTGACGCTCCGAACTAATGCTGCTTTCGTCCCTCATTGAAGCAGAGGGGCACCACTCCCAGAGCGTCTCCGCGTCTCATGGTGGCTTGGAAGAAGACAGAGACCGTGCGGCCCCATCTACGCCAACGTCCGGCAGTAAGGATTGGAAGCCTCCCTGGCTTGGCCTGTTGCGAAATCAGGGGGCGGGTGCTTGGCGGGGTCTTGGTGGAGGTGACCCCACTGGCTGCTGCTGTGCTGTTGGCCCAATGGTGTGTCTGGTGATGGTTCTGACTCTTGCTTTGTGGGCTCCATTGTAGGTGGGGCGCGAGCTAGTGTTTCGTGATCTCAGAGAGCGGGTTTCTGGCCGGGTGCAGTGGCTCATGCCTGTCATCCCAGCACTTTGGGAGGCTGAGGCAAGAGGATTGCCTGAGCCCAGGGGTTCGAGACCAGCCTAGAAAACTTGACAAGACCTCGTCTCTACAATAAACTAAAAAATTAGCTGGGTATGAGGGCGCACACCTGTGGTTCCAGCTACTTGGGAGGCTGAGGCGGAAGGATCGCCTGAGCCCAGCAGGTTGAGGCTGCAGAGGCCATGAGTGTGCCCCTGCCCTCCAACCTGGGTGACAGGGTGAGACTCTAACTCAAAAAAAAAAGAGTGGGTCTTAGACTTGATCTAAACAGAACAGATTGCTAATTTGGGATTTCCAAGTGCTGGGCAAGTCTGATTGACTCTCTGTCTGCATTCCTTATGCTCATGCTATTTTGCCATTTGTCCTGGGGGCTGTGAGTCCATGGTGCCCATGACTGAGAGGCAGCTCCCTTCTGAAAGAGGAAAGTTCGATGGCACTGGTAACCTCAGGTCTTGGAAACTCTTGGCTATTTCAGCTGCAGGGAGCACAGGGCGCCTCTCGCTCCACTGGTATATTTTCTCCCCTTCATCAGGGGTGGTCAACTGAGTAAGACCTCCCGCTGACCTAGCACTGAGGCGACCTCAGGGTCACGGGCGTGGAGGCGCAAGCCTCACCTGGGCGACCCCGACAGAGGTTGCCGCAGATGCGCCTTCTGGGCCGCAGGATCACTCGCCTCTTCTGCCGAGTGCTGGCCCGGTGGTGGCTATTGTGAAAGCCTGACTGTTCCAGATGGGACAAGTCTGTGGCAGTCTGCTCCTTGTCTGTGAGATGCAATGGAAAGCTCATGCAGCAGCTGTCCCAAGGAGCTCCTGGTGGGGGGCAACCATACAAACGTGGGTTTGTCCCTGGTTCCACACAGCTAGCAGCGATGCCCGAGGGGGAAGAAGAGGGCAGAGCCACCCCGGAGGCTCAGCGACCTTGCTGGAAGGCTATACCCCTCATGACCCCGACTCAGAGGAAAACTGGACCCTCAGCCCAGGGACCCTGGCCGAGACCAGGGCCTTTGGAGATTCTGAAGTCACGGCCTCTGGGGGTCCCACCCCTAGTGGTGATGACGCCTTCTCAGGTAACTTGCCATCTGTGATCTGTGTTCCTTTCTCTCAGAGAGGGACAGCCTCTGCATTCGTGGTACAGGGGACACATCCTGTGTAGATGAGATGCATCCGTGACATGGAAGTGGCTTTCCTCACTGGTCAGCAGTTCTAGTGCGAGTGAACCTGCCTGGATCTGTCTGGGATGAAGCAGTGCGCCCGTCGTTGCCAGCGTGCCTGCCATTTGGGTGCAGGCAGCTTGGCTGTCATGGTGGAACGGTTTCTTTGTCTCATCTCGCAATGTATCAAGTTGAACCGCATGAAACGGCCATTTTTGTAACTCGGAATAGTTGGGCACTAGCAGTTTCATTGGCTTCAACTGATATGCGCTGCCTGCATAGTGCGTAGTAAGGCTTGACCCGGCATGTGCATAATTCCCATGTGTCTCTGCCCTGAAACAATGGCCTGTTTGTGGTGACAGGTTGACGAGCTTTGCTTTTGTTGACGGGCTGGGGGGCTGACCTCTCCCTGTCCTGAGGCACACGCAGAACTTCATGGCTCCACCTGCTGCCAGGGGACAGGGACAGGTTCTCTTTCAGCGCTGGCAGAGCAGACAGAGGGGACGCAGCCAGGCTTGGCGCAGGCCCGACTGAGACTTCTCTCTCTCGAATAAGCAGTCCTTCCCGCTTCTGCTTTTCTTTGTTTCTTCACTCGCGTTAAGAAAGGGACACTGAAGAAAGGGAACTGGAGCATGCCTGCTCTGGGAAAAACATTAAAAAAGTGGCTTCTTTCCTCCTGGTCCTCGTTTTAAGGTTCTCAGAGCCATTACGTAAAATGCTGTTCAGGCCCCACAATCACTAAAGCAAGTTAAAGATCAGGGTCTTCAGACAGATTCGTTTCCAAACTGAGAGCCCCCCCAAGAAAGAAGAAGGCTGTCTTATGGGAGCCTCACAGATCAAGGCGATGACCCTCGTGCAGTGGGCACAGCGAACCTGCAGGCCCTGTCTTGGACTTTCTCCTCCGGCCGTCTGCCCGGGCTTCAGGAGAGACCCTTTCAGCAGACCGGCCTGACACCGTGGGCAAGACTCGGCCCCTCGCACCTCAGCTCTCCCTCCGGTGGGCTCTGCCCTGCTTCCTGCCACTCCCAGGGCCGCTCTCCGTGCTCTCCAGGGAAACAGCCCTGCGAGCGCTGCCTCGCCTCTCTTGGCCTGTCCTGCAGCCTAGTGAGTTCAGGCAGCATCCTAGAGGCTCACACAAAGTGCTTCCCACACAACCGACATGACTTTCACGTGCACTCCTTCCTTCTGCACTCCACGGAGGCACAGGTAGATTTTCCCTGATTCTCCACGGATAAATGATGAAGTGACCCAGTTCTCACCCTGAGTTTTCTCCCCAGCCCGTGTGTACGTCTCATTTCTGCCCAAGTATTTTTCTTAGTCTTCGTGCTCGGTGTTAAGAACAAAAGCATTTGGAATCTTGGTGACCATGGTGGTGGTGGTAGTGGCGATGACGGTGGTGGTGGCGGGGCTGTGATGGTGACCTGGTTGTGGGCATATCGGTGGATTCCATGTGTTCTAACCATCTGTCCAGGAGCAGAGCTGTCAGTCTCTTCGGCACAGTCACTGAGTGGCCACAGCTCTTCACCTCCGCCTTCTGTGACTCGGACAGTGCTGTACATGATGCATCCTGTACAGGGAGCTTCATCACATGACTGCAGCCATCTTCTGCAGTCACTGTTCGCTGTTCACTTTTTTAAGAAAGATGCCAGTGTCCTTTTGGAAAATTGGGGGGACCCTCATGTCATGGTGAGGTTCCATGTGCCGATTCCCAGATCTGACCCATGGACGCACATTTCAGCAATTCACGGGCTTGTCTCCACCTGAAGCCTCCGGTGACGGGTATTTGAGAGGGTGGGATTATAGGAACTCGTCACATTGAAAATATGGATTTAACTGTGGAAAAATACGATTTTAAGTGTGCTCTAGCACCCTGCTCACATTGCTCACATTGGCGACCACCGCACCTTCCTTTTTTCACTTCCTCTCAAACTCTCTCTTCTCATAATAAACACTTGGCTTCTCTATGAATCTTTGCCCCTTCAGCCCCAAATCCTTGTGCAGCCCAGTCTCCTGCTGCAGGGATGCCTCCCGAAGCCGGCACACCCACTGCCCGGGGCCATCTCTCGCAGCCAGGTTCTTAGTGTCCTCACATAAAGCACCGTCTCGCACCACCCCACCGTGGGTGGGTGTTCTGCAAACTTCCCGTGGTCCTCGCTCACAGCCACAGCTGCCGGTGTCCTCAGCTTTGGGGATGCTCTAGCCCACTCCTCGGTGAATTAAGCCGTGGGCAGTAGTTAGCCGCGTGGACTCAATGAAGGCTGTTTTCCCGTCATTTGGGGGCTGCCTTTAAAAGACTAAACTTTGCGGTGGGCTCTGTGGGAAAACGTGCCCGCAAGGAAATGCAGCCAACCGTGTAAGAGGAAACACACAGCCCTGACCTTCTCCGATTGCTCATTGTAGGAGACCGGGCTGCATCCGACCCCAGCGGGGACTCTCACACCACCAATGGATCTGAATCAGCTGGTAAGTTGGAAACCGTGTTAGTGGGTGACTTTGTGCCCATGGAACCCATGATTGTGAGTGTAGCTGACTAATGTCTCTGGGGTGGGGCTCTCACGCTTTCCCAGCACACATCTCCATCATAGGCTTGTGGCTGCACATACTGGAGCCACCCTTCAAGGCTCTGATGCAGGAGGCTGGTGGAGCCCACGCAACCGCGTTTCTGGTGCACTCCCTGGAAATGCCGGCGTAGCTGGGACGGGGATCGCACTCGGAGAAGCGCTGACCAGAGCACAGGCTCGGGAGTGTCCACATGGCCCAATACAGGCAGCGCTAGCCAGCGTGATGGCGGGCGCAGTTCCTGGAGCGAACTCCAGCTCTCCGCAGGTTCACTGAGCGCGATGCTCACAGGGTCTGAGACCAAACTTCCCACCCAAAAAACTTGGGATGATTATGACCGTTACGGGGCATCGTTCCCAAGACAATGCATTCTGCATCCTCTGGGCCACCGTGGGACAGCCAGCTTTTACTGGGAATCTGTTGTGTGCCGTGGCGTTCAAACCCTTTGCCTGTGCTGGGCTGGGCCCTGTGAAGCTGCCATTATGTGGGTCAAGACTGTCAGTATCAGCAAACTCGTAGAGTCCGCCTGACGTGAACTCATTCAGTCATCCCACAAATCCTGGGACACATGTGAGTCCTGTTCCATCCCCACGTCACAGATAAGGAAACCCAGGCCCAGAGAGGGGAGTAACTTGGTGGAGGTGCCGTGACCAGGTTTCCAGCCCAGGGGCCACACTGCTTCCCCGAGTGGAGCCTTTGCAATGACCGTGATTACCGCCAGGCACGATTATCAAAAGGCTCCTGTTTGCCGTGACGAGTCACGCCCTGCAAACATGACTCCAGACAGCAGGGTCTGACTTGAGGTGGGTTTACCGAAGTCCCCTGAGCTTACGAGAGGTTCTGCGGGGTGGCTGCCCTGGGCACCGTCTGACCCACAGACACGACCGTCTTCTCCTTCTGTCCATGTCGGTGCGAGTCGCCACACCAGATCTGAGTGCTATGAGGTTGATTGAAGGGATGTGAAGATGGACTGGACATGGACATGGACATGGACGTGGCAGCTTCGGGAGTGGTCCGCGTGGCGGTGGGGGTGGGGCTGGCTCACAGAGACTCCTTGAGTCAGCCGACGCCTGGAGCTCCCCAGGGCTGTGGGCAGCTCCCAGCCTTTCCCAGCCTCAGTCTCCTTCTTGGTAATAAGGCAACCAGCTTGCGGGGCAGCCACCTCCTGCGGTTCCTGTGGGCAGCATGGGGCCAGGCACACGAGTGTTCTGGAGACAGTGGGAGTGGCTACTAAAAGCCATGCTCTGATGCCACAAGATTCGGCTGCCCTGTGTGGCTCTCACACTGTCGTCAGGGACGCCGCCTGCGCTTGCTAGAATTGCAGAGTCCTCAGCCAGCCCAGACCTACTGAATGAGGATCCACGTTGTCAGCCTAGCCCTGCCACACACAGAAGGGGTCTGTGATCCCGGGCTGGACTGCCGCGCTTGCCGTTAAGGCCGACGAAATTAGCTCCGTTCACACGGCCCTCCCCAATCTAGTGAAGCGCGCCACATGGCGGAGCTCGCTCCTGCATCGGCCCTGCCCAGCTGGACCTGGTCATCGGGTCCCGGGCAAGGCCATGTCTCCCGTTCGACCTCCTTGGCTCTGCATGAGCTGATTCAGGTGGGAGGAGCGGCCTCTTTGTTTGCTGTGTGCAGGTGTCTATTTGGGAGGCTTTGTTCTGAGATATACACGCAGCTCTTTCCTTGCTTGGAGCGCTATTTTTGGAAAACCCAAATAAAGAGATGAGGACCCATGAATGGCCTCTCTTTCAAATAGCAAAGGCAGCTGTAAGCCAGAAAACAGATCTGCAAGAAAAGCTGTACAAGACCAAAGGTCTCCCATGTCCAAATGGCCAGTGTCCTGTGACCCTGCGGGTGGAGCCCTGCCAACCACCAAGGACACCAGCAGGGAGAGGGCCGTGGCTGCCCTTAGAGCCGTGTGGGTGAAAGACCCTGTCACGGTGGTTGGAAGTGTTGCAATGACCAGACGGCTGGTGAGAGATGTGTCTCGCCCTCTTTTGAGTCTCAACAAAGATGTCAAATTGCACAGATGGCAGCCACCTCACCCCAGGCAGCCACCGCTGCAGGACCTGGTGCATGGTCTCAAGCAAGGCTTGGAAAACTTCGTGTCAGCCCGTCTTCACACATCGATTGTCCCCAGGACCCATAGAGAGTCCCATTCAGGAGAAAAAGGCTCAATGTGCGATATTTTCACATTCTGTGTTGAAGCGACGGAGGACGAAGAAGACAGACCCCAGCGCCTGGCTGCAGGTGCTGTGAGGAGCACCTGCTTTTTCCTTTTGAAATGTGGCCACCCAGCCTGGGGCCTCCCATCCTGACTTGCGATTCCGTATTGTGACATTTCCTGCCAGCTTGAGGGCTGCCTCCATTTCCTTGTCCTGCAGCCTAGCAGTTGGAGATGTCGCTGCTAGCAGGGGAGCTTCCGTGAGGTGTCAGCAGGGACTCTCACGGGCGGTTTCTCAGGGACTGAAGGGCCACTGCCCCAGCCCTCGTGTCTCTGTGCTTGTGCTGGCTTCCACGGTGATGCTGGGCAGGCTTTTCAGATTCACGCCGGACTTTCTGAGGCCCGTGAACCCCCTGGGTGTCTTGTGGAAATGAGGATCTGACTTGGGAGGGATGAGTGAGGCCAGGACTCGGTGCTTCCAGCGATGCCCCCAAGCTCCCAGGCTGCAGGGCCACACCTGCGGCTGCTAGTCCGAAATCCAAGACAGAGCAGCAGCCACACCTGGCCGTATCGCTAGCCTCCGCAAACCTCTGCAAAACTGTGATGCGGCGGATTCTGTGGCCACCACCGTCATACGAGTGGGCACGGAGCCTTGAGACAGGACTTGGCCCACAGTGTAACCGGCAAGAGGCAGAGGTGGGACTCGACCCAGGGTCCAGCCCCAGAGCCCACAGTCCTGAGCACAACCTGCCTCAGAGTCCCCGTGTTCCCTAAAGGCATGTTCACACTCAGTCTTCACCTAGCTGAGCGGTTCTGGGGCGTCTCTGGTGTGACCCTTGACAAGCATCTGAGCTGGACCCACAAGCAGCCCCCGGGGTTCGGGGGCAGTGGGCGGGCCTGTGGTGGCTCCGCCAGGCCCTGGAGATTCTGCTTTTCAGACTCGGTTGACAGAGGTTGCTTTCCCCAGGACACTCAGGTGGGAGCCGAAACGGCGGGGCAAGCACGACCTCCGGACCTGCCAGGAAGCCCCAAATTCCAGGTGAGTCTCGGACAGTGAGGCAGAAACAGGTGCTGGAAGCAGGTGTCTCGAAGGGCCGACCGGGAAGGAGAGGCCCCCGAGGGTGCACCCTCCCAGACACCCGGCCTGCAGGCGCCTCTGCACGTCAGAGGATGAGTGAGCCACCCTCGTGCTCCATGGTAAAGATGGCACGCACTTCCCAGGAAACAGGCTAGGCTGAGTTCAGATCTGTCCTGGCCCGCCCAGGGAAGTGAGAGGACTTCCTACCCCACCCTGCGTCCCCTGGGAGTGCAGAGTGTAGTGCAGTGGTGCACTCACAGCCACTGCAGCCTCGACCTGCTAACTCAGGAGATCCTTCCGCCTCAGCCTTCCAAGTAGCTGGAACTACAGGTGCACGCTATCATGCCCAGCTAATTCATTAATTTATTGTAGATATGAGGTCTCACCATGTTGCCAGGCTGGTCCCGGACCCGTGGACTCAGGCAGTCCTCTCACCTCAGCCTCCCAAAGTGCTGGGATGACAGGCTTGAGCCACCATGCCCAGCCTTATCTATTTAATAGTATCGCACCAGAGGCTTCTACAAGTCTCCACTGGTCACTCTGCACTCTTTTGGAAACATATGCCTCCCAGAGGGACTTGAAAATCCCGATTGATGATAAAAGATTCAAGCAAGACCTGTCGGATACATGCAGCAAAGTTGCATTTCCAGAGTTGTCTGCCGAGGGCCGGGCCCATGGTCAGACCTCTCTGCGGTAGCACTGTGGTCCTGGTCTGGACAGGGTCAGTTGGAGACATGCGCTTCAGTTTCTGTGAGTGTGTTTTGAAGCTCATACGTGTCTCCTTACTCATTCCAGAGTGGCTGATCATCCTGGCAGCCCTGCTGGCCCTGGTGCTGATCCTGGCCGTGTGCATTGCTGTCAACAGTCGCCGCAGGTAAGGGGGTCCCCAGGAAAGAGGTCATCGGGATGTGACTTCCAGCCTGGAGCTCAGGGTCGCCCTGCACACCTGGGGGTGTGTCGGAATAGCAGAACCTTGGCCCAGAACCTGTGTCAGAGTGTGCGGTCTGGCAGGATTCCTGCCAGCAGACAGGGCCAAGCACAGGCGCAGGTGAAGGAGCCCTCTGGAGACCTGCGCGGTTCACAACACTGCTTCTAAGCAGTGGCTGAAGCTTGTGAGGTTTTAAGCTTTTTCAGGGTTGAGAGATGGTCTGGGGAGGGCTGTGAACTGCCTCTCCAGGAAGGCCCGTGCGAGCATACATGCATCAATGGTTCATTAGGCAGATAGGAACGCATTCGCATTCTTTTTATTTATTTTTGAATTGGGGTCTCACTCTATCGCAGGCTGTGGTGCAGGGGCACACTCACAGCCACCGCAGCCTCCACCTGCTGGACTCAGGCAGTCCTTCTGCCTCAGCCTCCTGAGTAGCTGGGACTACAGGCACACGCCACCATGCCAGGCTAATTTTTTTTATCTTTTGTAGAGACCGGGCCTTATTATGTTTCCCAGGCTGGTCTCAAACTCTTGGGCTCAAGCAGTCCTCCTGTCTTGGCCTCCTGCTGGGATGACAGTCATGAGCCAGTGCACCTGGCTTAAAGGTACATTATTTTTCTCTGAGCAGTCACAGAGGAACAGTAACCCTTTGGTGAATGTCCCTTGAGAGGGCTCCTTAGAAAGCAGAAGAATCTACTTCTCAAGCAAGGCTCCTCCACGGCACCCCTAGACCTGTCTCCCAGGCCAGGAAGTGCCCCAAAAGATGCAGATTGCAAATAGTGCCTGAAGCCAGGACAAGTTAGTAAAGTGCTGTCTCAGGGCCTGGGGCCATGTTGGGCTGCACCTCTGAAGGCGGATTTTAAAAGGTCATCCTGAAAGCTGATTGAGTGAAGGACAGAACAAGGGAAGCAGATCCAACAGCCCTGGAAGGCTCCTGGGATTAAGTGGAGAGAGTGTTTCCAGCTGAATGTAGATAGCATGGCTGGGAGAGCGCACAGAGAGTCTTTGTGCTCCGGGCCCTGGGATCACTCCGCTCAGTTACATGTGAATTTCCTGTTCTTGGGAATCAGCCCTTTCGCTCCAGGCTCTGGAACGCACCACACACTGCAGCCCCCTGCCTGGGTCCCCATAGAAACACTGGCCAGTGGCTATCACCCTGGAGCAGCTGGAGCCCACATAGTGGCTGGGTACCTCTCAATCACGCCCTCCTGTCTCCTGGAGAAAGGTCTCATGGCCACACCCCCACCTCTGTAAGGCCAGCAGCCAGCATCACCCTAGCAGCTGGCAGACAAGGGCACGTGGCCCAGCACCACCGGCCTCTCCCCGGAAAGTGGCTGCGTGGCTCGCAGATGACCATGTCCTCATGTGCTTGCCGCACCGCAATAATAGACTCACTTGCTGGATGCCAGGCTCGGTGTCCGGGGCTCTCACCGTTCTGTGGCACTGGTCCTCTTAATAGCCTGTGCTGCTCATGTGAACCTGCATCTCAGAGAGGTTCAGGGAGTTGCCCCAGGTCACCAAGCAGTAAGGTCTCAGTGCTAGGCCTGCCCAGGCTCCCCTCATCCACACCTGCCACCTCTGTGGGCTCTGTTAACGCCCTCTGCACCCATGCAGCCACTGCCCGGGTCAAGCACCCTTCCCTCTGCCCTGTCAGTGTCATGCCAGAAGAGCCAGGATCTGCCCTTCTGGAGGGGGAGGATTTCTCTTTCCCCAAACAAGCGATGGCGGCTGAGGACCTTGGCAGTCCTACTGGGAGCGGCCACGTCTGTGGCCAGGAGAGGTCTGGTCTCCACCACCGACGCCCAGTGGCAAGTGGGCCACTCTGGCTTCACAGTGTCCAGAATGCTGTGAGCATCCACAGAGCTGGGCAGAGCCAGACTTTGTCACACAGGCCCTGGTCTGAGTGTTGGCTCTATCATCCTTGCTCCTTGTGTGACAACTCGGACCGGTTCTGTAACAGGGGTGACACCAACTCTGTGGGCTTGTTGTGAGAGCCACAAAAGCTCACAGCAATGCAACGGGGCTTCCACTGAGCATGGTCTGACTGCACACATGTGGCTCTGATGTGTCACCAAAGCAGGAGGCGCTGCGACAGGCGGGGGGATGAGGCCACGACAGTGCCCGGCTGTCGAGGGTCAGTGAGACGAAGCAGGGAGGTGCTGGGTGAGGGCACATACCAGGACCAGGGAGCCCCAGCACTGCCCGTGGCCTGCCCGTGGCCCTGCCCATGGCTCTTTCTGTGGCCTTGCTTGTGGCTCTGCATGTGGCGCTGCCCATGGATCCCCCCGTGGTACTGATGCCCGAGGCGTAGCTCCCTTCTCACATGGTATCTTGACGTTGTCAGGTGCGGGCAGAAGAAGAAGCTGGTGATCAACAGTGGGAACGGGGCGGTGGAGGACAGGAAGCCGAGCGGCCTCAATGGGGAGGCCAGCAAGTCCCAGGAGATGGTGCACCTGGTGGCCAAAGAATCCTCTGAAAGCCCAGACCAGTTCACGAGCGCCGACGAGACGCGGAACCTGCAGAACGTGGACATGAAGATTGGGGTGTAGCCACACGGAGACCTGACCACCCGGGGCTGGGACACTGAACAGATGCAGCGTGCTACTGATCATTCTGCTGGGAATCTTGTTTAGCATACAGTTTTCTACTCCCTTGTGTCTTTTTGTGTGTCTTAAAGTCAGATCCAACCTGAAAACCAGCACTGCTTTCTGAAACGAGGCCCGTTCGTGGTGCTGCCATTCCGGTCCCACCCAGAGTCCTCCTGCACCCTTAGCGTGCATACGTGGCTGCTAACAAAAGCCACAGGTACAGCTTCTGGGTCCCCTGCTTCCCCCACCTGCTCCCAGGTAACAGCCACCAGTGGGGGACGCTTCCCAGGGCTAAGCGGGTCCCTGGGGGACGCCCAGTGGGCTCCTTCTGCCCTCGTGTTCCCTGGGCATCACTTTCTGGTGGGGGAGGGGCGAGTGGACACAGCCCCTTCAGCAGACCCTCCGGAAAACTTCAGACATATCTGGGAGACATCCAAAGGGCGAAGCTATTTATGCATAGTCAGCTATTTATCTGTGTTTTCGAAATATTCAACCCCGGCCAGAGGTCCTTGGACCCACATGATTTTTATAAGTGACCTTGTCAGAGGCATAAAAGAGTTCAAGCTCATTCCTAATAAACATCTATGCTTCTTCCATCTTGACCTTGTGCTGTGGTCCTTCTGCGTCTACACCAGCACGGTCTGGGCCCTGGCAGCTCCCAAGAAAGGCCTGAGATGGGAGGAGCCCCCAGCCACTCAGCCACCTCCCACAGAAGACCGGGGTACCACACGAGGCTAGGCTTCAGGCTGTTCAAGGGTTCTTCCCTGGCCAGATGGTCAGCAGAGGGGCCTCAGCCTCTTTGGGGGTGCAGCAACCACTGTCCTCTCCCGTGACATGCTTTGAAAAGCCACATTCAGTTTGCACGACTGTCATTCAGGGATTCCGTTGCAGTGACCCTACAGTGCTCTCCGAGACTGCATGGACTCCTAATGAAGAGACAAGCCAACGAGGGTGAAAGGCGTGGTCTGTGGCCAGCTGCCTGGATGGCTTGTGGGGAGACACTTAGATTCCGCGTGACCAATTCATGATGGCATTTGCAAACACCTGAACAGACCTGTGCTGCCCCCGTGCACGTGCAGCTAAGAACCAGACAAGCGGCTGGAGGTCCCTCGAAAGGAGGGCTTCCGGGTATCGAAAGCTCAGCAGCAAATTCATGACCTTGCGAGGGAGTCATGACGCATCCTCTCGCCCACATCCCCCCCTTGACAGTCCTTGGGGCATCGGCCTTCGGTCAGGATGTCCTGCAAAGGCTACTTGTAGAAGTCAGACTCCCCTGAGGAAGGGTTCTTGCGAAATGGGACGCCCACGCTCCAGCACCCATGAGCATCTCTTGCTGCCTAAGCGGACGAGCTGCTTCCCGGGCAGCATCTCCCTGGCCACAGCGCGAGAAGGAGGAGAGCTCCCACTTGAGTCAGGGCGTGCTCTGTGCAGCCAACAGGGGGAGACTTTTAACGCAGAGACACCAGCTGTACACGCTCATTTCACCCATTGCCCATGCTGTCTGCCCTCCCAGCCCCCTACCCCGCACCTACACCTTGAAAATCCTCCTTGCTTTCCCCTTTCTCCTCCAGCATCACCAGCCAGTTCCGTCTCCATGGTCCATTCTTCTCTCTCCCTTCTTCTTGAGTTAAAATGGCGCTGGGCCACACCATGTGTCACTGCCATCTGTGTTAGACTGCCCTGTCCTCGCGAGCACCCCTGGCCTGCCACTGGCACAGATGACTCTGCTTGGGCTCAAACACAAGTGCAGCAAGTCACCCTGGGCCAGGCAAGGGAGCACTCTGCTGGGATCTGTGTCCCCCCGATTCTCTCTGCAGGCTGGGAGGAGTGTCCGCCCCTCTGGACAGCTCCACAGGTAGGCTGGCCCGGCAGATGCCTTCCTGTTTTATCTTGGATATTATTGTTGTGGTCCCTCACGTGGATTCACCTCTGTTCTCAAGAGACATCGAGGGTGGAATCGGTTTCCGGCCCTTGGTCACCATCCGTGGGGGCTGGTCGTGCCTTCGAGACACCCTGCAGTGTGCGGCTGTTGGGCAGGGCTGGAGCCTCACTGCTAGGCTCAGGGCTGCCAGGCACAGCTGGGATTCGCCAGGTGACTTGGGCGCTGCCAGGACAGGGGGCCTTGTCTCTAAAAGTGAAGGGCTGGCATTTAATGGCCTTGCAAAGCAGCCTGAGAGCCCAAGGTGTTGTTTTCCTGCAACTGTAAATCTGTGCTGTGTCCTGAGGGCGTCCCTTAAAGGAGCCCCGAAAACCTCTCCGTGCCTCTCCTGGCCTGGCAGAGTGGATTTCCCAGCAGAGCCGCTGAGCTCCAGGTCACCAAGGACGGGCTTTGCAACCAGTGTTCTCTCGGGCAGTCACACGGTGGGTAGAGGGTGGGACAGGAGCCGCGGGGTTATGAATGAACTTGAGATCTGGAACGACACAGTCCAAGAACCTCTGCGCAGGGTGTGTCACTTGGTGAATCATCGATGTTCTGAAGAAAGGCTCATTGTGTGCATGACTGTGCCGTGCCCTTGTGACCAGCGCCTTTCCAAGTTCGCCGTCCTTGCCTCCTGGGTACTTTCTGATGAGCTCTTGTCATGAGGGGGCGTGCCCATGCTGCTCAGGTAAAGGCACTGGCTGGAGAGCACAGAAGGCCAGCATTGGGGGCAGAAGGAGGTGGGTTTAGCGTCTGTCGTGTGCAGGCAGGAATGTATCCACACAACACACACACGCACGCGCGCGCGCGCGCACAGAGACGCACACACACAGCACAGGCACACACACAGCAAGATACATGCAGTACAAACACGCACCGAGCCACATGCACACACACCAGCCTGTGCAGCTTGGGGTAAGGAGGTCTGGGCCCCTCCTGCCTCCCTTTTGGCTGTTTTCCAAGGCTTTCATCTCGTGGGGCAGGATGGAGGTGAGGCCCCTGCTTCTCAGGGTATTTCTGCTCCCAGGATCCGTGGTCTGGTCTGGCTTTGTCCCATTGGAGCCATTGCCAGATCCTGCTCTGCGACTCTGGAGCTCCAGCCGGATGCAGGGAAGGTCCACGGAGTCTGCCTCCGTCTCCACCTCCGCCTCTGCTCGCAGAGCCTCTGGACCCTCTCTGGGGGCCATGGGCCTCCTCCTTTGGGATGGCTCAGCCTCACTCTCACTGGCCCGTCGTTCCTGGCGCATGAGAAGCACGTGGCTTTCCAAACGAGGGGCACCAGAGGGGAAACAGCCCCTCTGGGAGAGGCTCCGGGTGTGTCCGGCCGCTGCCTCTGCACAGTTGCAAACTCCCGAGGCCCCAGACAGCTCAGATTCGGGGGTGCGATGGCTCAGCCCAGGCCCGTTGGCTGTGTCATCAGCGTCTCTCGGGCCCCGGGCAAACCGGAACCGCTGCCATCTGCAATGCTCTGCCACCTGCTAGAGGGGGTGAAGGCCTCACGGATGAAGAGTCACTGCCACTCAGCCCCCAGCGACACGAGAGGACACCTCCACACCATGAGACACGCTCCACGTCACAAGAGCTGGTGCAGCCCCAGAGGCAGAGTGAGCGGCGGCCTTGGAGGTCAGAGTGACCTCAAGTCTCTGCATGGACTGTCGTGACGTCCAGCCCATTCTCTCGGCTAAAAGCAGCTACGTCTCTTGGCCTGGGGCCTGACCAGCTCCAGGTACCCACAGCTGAGAAGAGGGACAGGTTTTTAAGAGGCTGTGGTGTGGTTGTTGGCGCGTGGGGCTGACAGAGTCAGACATATGCAAACAAGCCAGCAGAGATGCTGACAGGAGTGATGCCCAAGACGCCCAGGTGAGTCGGCAAGCCCAGCTCAGACGTTATCAGTGAGCCTCCCACAGGCAGGCCTGGGTAGTCAGGGGACAGGTAGCCAGACATCTGGACACCGTCCTATCGGTACAACCACACACTGAACAGAATTCAGGCCCAGACCGGGCATGGTGGCTCAGCCTGTAATCCCAGCACTTTGGGAAGCCGAGATGAGAGGATTGAATGAGCCCAGGCATTCGAGATCAGTTTGGGCAACTTGGTGAGACCTCGTCTCAAAAATAAATCACAAAAACTAGCTGGGCTTGGTGGTGTGCATCTGTCGTTCCAGCTACTTGGAAGACTGAGGAAGAAGGATCGCCTAAGCCCAGCACATCGAGGTTGCAGGGGCCATGAGTGTGCCACTGCACTCCAGCCAGGGTGACAAGAGTGAGACTCCAACTCAAACAACAACAACAAAAAACTCAGACCCGATCTTGAAAGATGGACCTGCTGGCTACGAAGACTGAAAACAGGACACCAGGGAGTTACTGGGGACACCGAGGCACAGGGCACTAAGAAAAACTCAGCTAAGGAACAGCTGTCCCTACACTATTTCATAAGGTCCTCGAGACACTGAGACATGGTACTCTAAGAAAAAACACATTAAAAAACAGCTTTCCTATGATCTCAAAAATTCCTCGTGATGTTTAAAATAATACAAATTATAAAAAATAAAACTGGCCAGGTTTGGTGGCTCAGCCTGTAATCCTAGCACTTTGGCAGGCCGAGGCGAGTGGATTGTCTGAGCCCGCAGGTTCGAGACCCACCTGGGCAACTTGGTGAGACCTCGTCTCTACAATAAATCAAAAATTAGCTGGGCGTGGTAGCGTGTTCCGGCTACTTGGAAGGCTGAGGCAGAAGGATCACCGGAACCCAGCAGGTCGAGGCCGCAGTGTCCAGGAACGTGCCACTGCTCTCTAGTCTGGGCGACGGAGTGAGACTCAAAACAAATAAATAAATAAATAAATAAATAAAATAAAACTTGTCATCCAAACTTAGAAATGAGTTGCGTAACCATCATTTTGAAAATATATAAAACACTGCTCACAAAAGGTGATGTCCTTTCCCTTAAAGGACACCCGCGCTCTCTCTCGAATGTGTCTTTTTTCTCTCAAATGCACTGCAAACCCCCTCTACCTCTCGCTCTAAAATTCCTTTCTGCGTGAGCCAAGGACTCACCCCACACCACCCAACATCAAAACCACGGACCTCAACCAGAAAGCTGACTTCAAGACCCGAAATGAGCCCCAGGTCCTGACCTGTGAGCAGATCACCACTGAGGGGCCGATGGTGCCCAGGGCACTCTCAGGGTCATCACCGCATGTGGCCGGTACGGGGGCTTCCCAGGAGGTGGAATGAGGACCCGCAGTGGGGACAGAAGGGGAGGCCCACCCAGGGCAGTCAGAGTCTCCTCAAGAAGCCGGCCTTATCAGTGGCCTGAGGGCCTCTCGTTCTGCCCGTCAGGGTTTCGGGGCTCCATGGCTCAGTGACTCGGGAACTTTTGGGGGGTCCCCTCTCTAAACAGGAGCACCATGGTAACTGACAGTCTTGGCGCTTCTGTGGGAGCATGGGGGGTAGGACGGAGGAGCTGCAGAAGCCTTGTCACTCATGTCCACGGAAGCCACGACTGAACCATCTGTGGAAACACACAGACATCATGTGGAGGGACTGTGCGGAGGGGCCGTGACTGGGCGAGAATTTTCTGGGGTCTCCCTTGGGGTGGTGAGTGCATCCTGCGTGTGGGGAACTGTCACCAAACACAAGGTGACCAGAGAAGCAGACAGTAGAGATGTGTTTGTGC